CTGAAACAAACAGCCCCTTAATGTTTTAAATTCCATTTTCAAATCTAATTGATTGCAGTTCATATTCTGTAGGATCTGTTAATATGTTATGTGTTGCTTGTCAATTTAAGTTGCAGCCTTAATCTATCGAGTCTCTGGATTTGCAGTGGGAGAAGTACAACAAATTTGTGTAGTCTCTGAATGTCATTCCTTCAAGTTCCATGTTTCTAGATTAGTGATTGGGACCTTTTACATGTTTAAACTAGGGTTAGAACCAATATGCTCAGTTTGTTTCATAACTTTCATTATTGCTCCCTCCATCCCACTACTTTTGGGACAAGGGAGAGTGAAATTGAAATTAATAAAAGTAAGATTGTGTAGTAGATATTACTCTGCACTCAGGTATGATCAAATCTGGTATATGATTCACAAATAGTAGGACGGACAAAAAAAAAGGTAAAAGGGACAAAACATAACTAAATTAGTTCACGAGAGACCCGGAAATGAGGTTCAAAGGGGAGGGAGAGACACTTCTCAAATTAGTGTTGACTATACACTTTAGGAAGGTGGATTGTGCTTGTCTTGAGACTATACTAAGGAGAAAGGATCCAACTCTGAATATACTAAGGATTTCATATACTTTCATCTATCTCCGTTTTAATTCTCATATAGTCTGGTGGATTAAACTCCATCAATTGGTAGTTGTCCTTTTTTATTATTTTATTTTTGCATTAAGTGGGGCATGTTTTTGAAATGTGGCTGTGCTATTCGCTTTTCACATTGTTTACCTTTGGAAACAACTCCTCCCTTGTAAATCTGTTAACGCGATCTTTTTAAAAATAAATTTGCAAAAGCTGCTAGAGTCAAATTGTTTCAGAGTATTTCTTCTGAAGATACATGTTCGTTTCGATGCCTCTCTTGTTTATTAATTGTATAATTATCATTCTTGTCCGGCGTTGCTAAAACTGCAGTTTCAGAAGGGTTTATAGTTCTTCACACGCTTTTGCAGGATTTAATATGTACTCTTTGTCGGAACGCACTGAATATGCCACTTCGTTGATTATTATGGGTTCTTGCTAAACTTCAAAAGGCTTATACTTTTTTTCTACTATGTATCGTGTGTCCTATATGTTCTTCACAGCGACCTCTGTATTCGTTCTGAAGTCCTCAGTAAAGTTTGTTCTCTACCATTATTGTTTCACTGTTTTCTGATAACTATCTTGCATTTGTCACAACACCCTTACTATCTAACACTATTTGAGCCGGAGGTTTCTTGGAAACGGTCTCTCTACTTCATAATAGGGCCCAGGGGTAAGATCTGCATACACACATCCTCCTCACACCCTACATTTGTCGAATTCTATTGGGTTTGTTGTTCTTCTTGTTACTGTCTTCATGATCTTCAACGGCCAAACCCTCACAAAAAGAAGCTTTTATCATTTTGTCTCATCTGTTCTGCCTGTTTTTTATCAAATTGCCGTTTCAAACTATTTTAAGCCTTTTTCCACTTTGCACGCTGGGCTGGAAGCAGATTCTGATCTCGCATTCTTATTTGCTAAAATATCTCCTGGGAGCAGTGAGGATGAGGTTTTCCTGTCTCTTCAATCCAATCCAGCTTGTGAGACCATCCGGCTTACTCACAAACTAGTAGGGAATTTGCTTCACTGTTTCAAAGATGACTGGAAATCGGCATTGGGTGCTTTCAGATGGGCAGAGTCACACCCTGGGTACACACCCTTGCCAGAATTCTACGACGAAGTGGTGGACATACTTGGGAAAATGAAGAAGATGGATAGGATGTGTACATTTTTAGACGAAATGTGTCATAACCAGCAGACAGTTACTCTGAGCACCATAGCAAAAGTCATGAGAAGATTTGCAGGCGCTGGAAAGTGGAAAGAAGCAGTGAGGATATTTGACGAGTTAGGAAAGTACGGGATTGAGAAGAACACTGAATCCATGAATTTGTTACTTGACACACTCTGCAAGTCAAACAGGACTCTCCAGGCACGTGAAATCTTCTTGGAGCTCAAGTCACACATTCCACCAAATCCAAACACGTTTAACATTTTCATTCATGGCTGGTGCAAAGCTAACTCGGTGGACGAAGCACTTTGGACGATTCAGGAGATGAAAGGGTACGGATTCCACCCGTGTGTTATCAGCTACTCAACCATCATCAGATCCTATTGTAACCAGTCCAACTTCCCCAAAGTGTATGAGCTTCTTGATGAGATGAACGCCGAAGGGTGCGAACCAAATGCTGTGACGTTCACCACAATCATTTCTTCTCTGACAAAGCTGGAGAGATTTGAGGAAGCTCTGGAGGTTCGCGAAAGGATGAGATCGGTCGGGTGTAAACCTGACACACTTTTCTATAATGCCTTGATTTATACGTTGGGCAGGTCGGGCAAATTAAAAGAGGCTGTTCGTGTTCTCAAAGTTGAGATGCTGACACACGGTGTGAAACCAAACACTTCGACTTACAACTCTTTGATTGCTATGTTTTGCCATCACAGACAAGAAGCTGATGCTTTAGAGTGTCTGAGAGAAATGGAAAGTTCACCAAATTGTGAACCTGATGCCCAGACATACTATCCTCTGCTGAAGCTGTGCTTTATAAATGGGAAGACTGATGATTTGTTGCCTGAGTTAATGGATGAAATGGTTAATAGGCATCATCTGAGTCTGGATCTGTCAGCATATTCTCTTTTGATCCACGGGTTATGCAGATCGAATAAATGTGAATGGGCCTATAGGGTTTTCGAAGAGATGATAGCTAAAGAGATCACACCCAGGTATCAAACTTGCAAAGTTCTTTTGGAGGAAATCAAACAGAAAAATATGTTTGATGTTGCCGACAGGGTTGAAGAGTTCATGAAGAAGATGAAGTAATCCTCCCTTGAACAAGTCTTTGTTTTTGGCCTGTATGGATTTAATTATACAGGGATGAAGTCTTTGAAATCTTGGGCTTTCAGATTCAAAATTCAAAGTTGAGGTATTCCTGTTTAACTTATTGGCAACAATTTTTTTTTTTTAAATTTTTATGGATGAACCTAACCTCACCTCTTTCATAGGAGGCGTCGGAGGTTATCCCCTTTTGCATTCCTACTTTGCCCTCTGTATCAAATTATATGCAGTATAATTTATATCACACTCTTCAATGACACGGAGTAGTAAATATACGGAGTAAGAGCTTGTTCTTTTTAATTTATCTGACTAGTTCTGATCTAATTTAATTAAGTTCTCATCTAATTTTATTGTAGTTATATTTAAAGTTGTTTTATACGTGATTTGAAGTGGAAATAAAGTAAGGTAGTCTACCAAGTACTAATCCACTCAGTAAATGTGTTGTCTCACTGACAAAGTGAGCTACAAATATAACACTTACATTTTCGTTTCCCCACACAAAGATGGGATACTTACAATCAGCGATGCTTACAATAATTGACAAGAGAATAACATTTACACGAATCAACAGCCTAACTATTAATAATATCTGCGACTTCCTTGTAGTTTGTCTCTAGAAAGACTTGTGTCCAACCCTTCAACTTCATCTAACTCAAAGCTTCCTTCATTGCCATTGCTTTCACTTCCCTTGCACCAAAGTTCCTCGGGTAACTCCTTATTGACTTTTCGATAAATTGAGAAAAAATGATATATTTCAAATTTATAAATGATACTCTGTTACTCTGTATACTCCAAATTATTCCCTTCTTTCAAGTTTACATGGCTTCTTGTTTACCAAGTTTGACTATAGTTTATTTTATTTCAAAATTGGTGTAAAGTTAAAAAAAAATGAAATGTTTATATTTAAAAAGTAAATGAAATATTATACAAAATTAGAGGTGAAATGACTATAATATTATTTTTCCTAATACGTAGCAGAAATTAGTGGAGAAAGTGATTAAATAGTACTCCCTCCGTCTTAATTTATATTGTCTATTTCATTTTACGTTTTTTAACTGAGATTACATTCAAATTATTTTATTTGAAAAATGGTGTATAATTAAAAAGATAAAAAATTACATATTAGAATACTACATCAAGAGTACTACAAAACAAGTGGTGACATGATTATTTTATTTTATCAAATGACTAACGAAAATAGAGAAAAAAATTTAATTTGGAACAGAGGAAGTAATATGTAACTTAAATTAGGATGGAGAGAGTAGTAATAAAATAAAAAAAAATATCACTTACATATATAAAAGTTAAATCAAAACTCAAAAGTGATATAGAACAAATGGTAACATGTCTATTTTATTTAATCAAATTATTAATGTAAATGCAAATACAAACCAAAGTTATTGGGAACCTCAAATAATAAAGATAACAACTAATTTGGGACCAAGAGAGTAATACTCTATCCTACAATTATGGTCACAGTTACTATTTTGATTCATCGATAATTTCTGTTAGTATACATGCTTTTGTTGATCATTTGATAAAAAAATATTTTGTATTCTTGTCACCTCTTATTTTACTGAACTTTTGATATAAGTTTTTAAAATATAACTTCTATTTTTTTAAATTTGTATACGAATTTATAAATAAAATAATTTTAAAAAAGATGAGATATTGTTCAAAGTAAGACGATAATTTTGACACGGAGCAATAAGGTTAGACCATGTTCTGTTCACTTGATTTAAATGGTTCTGATTTGATTGGAATAAGTTCTGATCTGATTAGGTCTAGTCTGATCTGAATTAATCTAAATGTAGTTATATTATAGTTATTTCTAATCTAATTTGAACCAATTCCAATATGAAGAAGTAATGATGATATGTCGATTGACATTGCATAGTTGGCAATGAGAGAGGGTAGCAAGGAGGTAATATCCGAGTTCAATTCTGACGACTGCATTGGAAAACAACTATTCTAACTCGCTAAGTATAGGACTTCTGCAAGTATCAGATGCAGATTCCACTCTTTGTCATCAATATGTGATTAAAGTCTAATTTACTTTCTCTCGGGTGATCATCTCACCGATTTTGAAAGACTTCAGAGATGCCCGCATTGGTAGCTCCACTGGTCCAAGGAGAGAACGTCAAGCTCATTGATCTTTAAATCGAAAATCGACAGCGACAGTGTAGGAACTTTATTCTTTGTAATAGCTCCTTATGCACACCGGGCATGAGGCGTCACTTTTAAAGATTAGATTGAGTTTATATAATGATTTACCTTTTTACAATCCTGTCTGGTCGAAGTATGAGACCCCGTGACGTTCTACCTTTGAAAGACTTATGGGTTCATCCTTTTTTGAAATATAGTGGTGATGTGATTGAGAGTGGACTAGACATTACTACATAGGTGTGGTTCATTGGTTTTGAGAATCTTTGCTTTAAACAAAGAACTGACAATAATCTGGCATGCTATGCCATTCAACAGTCACCCTCAAATCCCAACCCCACTCCCAACACTGAATGATCTGCATCGGTTTCCCTACATGTCACAGGACAGCTGCTCTAACAGTCCACTATAACACCATTGAAGATCACCGAAGCACTGAAAGCATAAAGATAAAAAAAGAAAGAAAAAAACTTATGCATATTCATATCTTGAAAATTGAAATACTCATAAAGGAAACAATTAAAATGGTTGCTAAACTCGGGAGGATATCGCTCAAACAATCACTTCTAATTAAATTTGATGGGAGTTAATCAATGACTCAATGCTACATTATATTTCCCCTATGAAATCCCAAATAAAATTCAGTTAAAGCTCACAAGTGTGTATAGAATTGAAGCATAGAAAGCAAGACATGTCTTGCTTTTCTTTATTATTATCACTTGGTTCTTCTAGAACTGGACCTGTTCTTCTTCGTCTTCCTGCTGTTATTCTCATCAAAGCTGCTCCAACTGTAACCCACCGGGATTGCGAAGGGGTCGGCTTGCTGTTGGCGGCTCGTCGACCCCCACATATAGCCGCCGCCTCTCTCCGTTCTGTTGCCGTCTTCCTCCTCCGCCGCCGGCTGGGCAAGATGTCTTGGGCTTTAAAATGGCGTGAAGAACTGCTCTACCGGCTGCAACTCCACAAATTTGGTGAATGTCACCACCACTCTCACCGTGGGAACCACCGGAATCGCCACCTGAACACAAATTTGTTGTTATTGTTCCGACCCCAAAAGCCAAAATCAATCAAGTCCCAATCACACATGGAATTGAAGGGAATGGAATGTTTCTTTTTTCTTGTGGCCTAAGTGTTACCCAAACAAGGCGCTTCCATGTCATGTAGCGGGCGGGTCCCATGTCGGGGAGGGGAGTCAAGAATGGGTAAATGGGTCAAAAAGAAATTCATGTGGGACCGGAATACTAATTTTATCAAAAACAGCAAATTTGTCTGTTTACCTTTACCGGAAAAGTTCCCGGCGGAAATTTGGTCGTCAACAGCTCTCTCAATCGCCTGACGGCCTTCACCTTGTTCGCTAAAATGTCCAGTAACGGCAGCAACTCCTCCGTTTTCAGCGGGAATTGCTCCGTTAACCAAACTGACGGTTTCAGATTTTTGACGAACTCCTTCTCCTTCGTCTGCGGAGGCGGCGCCACCGATATCGCCGTCGATCTTCGCCGCGGCGCTGGGATGATATCCACGCTCTTTCGAGAGACACTAATCAGCTCTCGGTCCTCTCGAACAAAGCTGCTATGGCGTCTAGGTCCATCTGCTCCGCCTCCGTCCACGGAGACGCTGAATCGCGGATTCTCCGCTACTAGAAATCCATCGTCGGAGTCCTCTTCGAGCTCCAAGTCTAATGGTAAAATCTGCTCGCTTCCGGCTTCTCCGAAGGTGGCTTTCCGGGACCGGTAGCTAAAAGTCACATTGTTCACTTCGTAAACCCTGGCTTTCCACTCCCCGACGCTCTCCGTCTTCCCTTGACCTCTCCAATTCGTGCGCCCAACTAGGGTTGCTTTGGTAACGTCCATTCCCGGCCGGTGTACGCTCCTTTGGCTACAAAAATCGGCAACATCGCCTTCGGTTAAAGGATTTCCGGCGTTTTCAAATGCATCGAAGACTTTCCGATCATCGTGGTTGAGTACCAGAAGCGAACCGGGTGGAATGTCGAAATTGATCTCACAGTCGGATCCGTCGCCGAAGAAAAGGAAGCTCTGGTTGGCCCGCTGGATTTTCAGGCCGTCATATCCCGCTAACGATGTATCGGCTCTGAGATTGCCGCCGCATTTCCAGATCTTGTATGTATCTGATGGGGCCATTTTCCCAACGAATGGAACAATTGAGCTCTCGAAGTGGAAGGAAATCTCCATATAGAAATCGCGCATCCTCCGGAGGGCGGCTACGAGGCGGGGGAGGCGCCGTCGCCATTTGGACCAGGCAGCGAGGTGCTGGTGCTGCACGAGCGCCGCCACGATGTCCGAGCATCTCCGCACAACGGCCTCCTGCAGAGGATTCCATCCGGCAGCATTCTGGAGAGAAATATCTGCTCCGGCAGCAGCAAGAGCTCGTGCAGCGAATGCATCCTTGAGGCGGACGGCCAGATGCAGAGCAGTCTCGCGGTTGAGATTGTCACGGCGGTCGAGCACGGAGGCGATTTTGTCAGCGAGTCGTTCCTGAGCGAGCGAGTCAGATTCGGTGTGGATCAGAGCGGGGTCGCTTAGACGGTCTACGGATGCGACTAGCCGTTTCAGGGCGTTGTGATCTGCAACTGCGACGGCGTAGTGGACCGGACTGTGGGCGTAATCTTCAGGCCGTATGGTCATCGACGTCGTCGTCGACGGCGGCGGCGGAGGCTTGGCCATTGTGCATTAACTCTCTCTGGTTTGCGTGGAGTGGGGTTTAGATGAGCGTGAAAAAACGGTTTGTGGTGGAAAGGAATGTTAATGAATGGAAGAAAGAGAGAATTGTTTCGGTTTTTCAAATCAGCGGTGCTTTCCTTTCGGCCTGCCTCGATATAACAGTCACACAACTCACCAATATTGTGAAAACCCGTCTGGAACCTCAAAATCAATTAGAGTATGATCAGAATCAATCACATAAAGTCAAGAGAACAAACTCTATAGAGCTATGACTACTAGTCATTCTTGTCCCTCGATATACACTTTTACTATCAAATGCTTCCAAAAAATACTAGAGATACATTGATATATCTAAATTGTATCCCAAGTGTGCACAACACAATCCTGGGTGTGGATAAGAAGATTATATAATGGATACAAAATGTGTGGTGAGAAGAGTGATGAGATACACTTTTACCCCTAGTATTATTCGATACATCTCCCCTCTCAAAATGATTTACACTTATTATTCAGGTTTTTATATAACTTTTATGTATTCATGTATTTTTATAAGTCATTTTATAAAATAAAATACTTTTATCACAATTTTTATCTATTCATGCGCCTCAAAATTACTTCTTTTGTCTCGTAATTTTTTTTCATGGTTTGACTTAATACAATTTTTATAAAGTAAAATATGTGTTGTTATAATTCGCGAAGAGGAAAGAGAAAAATTATAAGCGAGATAAACATTTTCTTTAAAAAAAAATAGAAAAAATTTGGAACGACCCAAAAAAATTGAGAAGATAATTATGATATATTGGCGCTCGGGGATGTGCGTCGGGTGCTCCATCACCAAGATCGTGGTTGAAGACTAGAAATGGTGATTATTTGCCATGTATATCTATCCTAGTATACCATAAATAGAGTGGGATTTGAGTTCCTTGTGAAAGACACGATCAATTTAGCAATAATATATTTCATCCGTCCCATAAGAGTTTCCCACAATGCGACAAGCAACCAACATGTAGAAATAGAGGTAGTGGCTTCAGCAACGGTCGTTAGCAGGACACCATGCCAAACTGGGCTAGGATCGTGGGTCAGCGCATTAAGTTCAAAATTGGGATCACTACTGAACTGTTCAAGGCGGCCATTGTATTGTCAATATTTGAGCCTTTTATAATAAATAGTTAAACCATGTTTACTTTTAAATTTTTTTTTTCTTTTTATTTTTTTGCAATAGTATGGTCAATATATTAGTCTTTTTTAAATACAATTTTCGATAAAGTTTTTAATAGGGAGTAATACTAAATTATGAATAAATACAAAGAAAACCAAAAGAAAACTTTATGTATTTATCACTAAAAAATGACTTATAATATTACGTTTAAAGATAATTTAAAAAACAAGAAAATTTCTAAGGACGCCTTAAACAAAAAAAAATTTAAAAGGATAAAAAACAAAAATCACCTATATTACATGGACTAAAAACATTTAGTGTATTATTTCAACCTTTTAGAAATGTGGGAGTGGAACTCAAAAATAAGATATGAAACAAGGGGTGCCAGTGGCATTGTGCAGTAGGCAAAAGGCAGAGGATGTCAAAGAGATAGATTCGAGTTTGATTCTTGATAACTAACTCGAGGCAAGTATATGTTGTACTTCTTTTCATTAATCTAGATTCAAAGTTCAATTTACTTTTCGTCCAACTATATTTGGGGGAGTCGTCAAAGATGAGGCTCATTTTTTTTAGAAATGAGAGAGTAGATTAGAACGGAAGAAAAGTACATATTGAGTTTTGATGATTGATTAGAGTTTCTTAGCAGTGCAGTCTAGTCTTCTAGTCCGAAAGAAGGAATTTAGGTGAACATACCAAAGTACTCCCCACTATTAATAATTTTCCTTTCTAGTTGGTATCAATTTTAAATTATTTTTAACCTTTTATATTTTAAACTTTTTCTCAGACTCGAAAATATAGTTTTACCTTGAGAGTTATGCTAGTACGATCCTCAGTTCCACATGTGAATTGTGAAGTTTTTTTATATACTTTTCATGGTCTTATAATTGATTTTTTTTCATTTTTACAAAACTAAATATATATAACCATTTTTTGTATTAAGATTTATAAAATGAATATAGACGTTAAGGCAACAAAAAAATTTTCTTTTTTTAGATAAGCAAAATTAAAGATATCAAACTTTTAGTTTTCCACTCTTCATAATTCTGAACATTAAGACATTAACGATACAACGGAAATATGTTTGGTATCCTCTTTGTCCACAAAAGACCATTAACATTTAATGACCGTATTAATCACATTTCTACTATTCATATATACTTTTTAGTTTATTCATTTAAATACTTAAGGCTATTTGGTATTAGAAGGTGATAAGTGATAGGATGTGAAGTTTAAACTGATTTAGGCCTCGTTCCGTTCAACTTATTTTTTCTTATTCTTATTAAAATCAGATCAGATCAGATCAGACCAGATCAGATCAAATCAGATCGATTCAGATCAGATCCAATCAGATCAGATCCAATCAGATCAGATCAGATCCCATCAAGAATTATTATTATTATTATTATTATTATTATTATTATTATTATTATTATTATTATTATGAGTATTATTATTATTATTATTATTATTATCATCATCATCATCATCATCATTATCATCATCATCATCATCATTATTATTATTATTATTATTGTTCTTAAAAATGAAAAAGAATAAACTTTAGAAATAAGTTAAATAGAAAACTGAGAAAGTAATCCTTAATTATTAGACGTCGAAAAAATTAGTTTTAAAATACATTGACAATGTCAATCTAATTCTACTTTTAAAATATATTTTTATTGCAACTTGTTGTTTGAGTTTCTAAACTTTTGATCTTTTATAAGGATGAGATATTTTAATAAAAATACTATCTCTTCTATATATTGATTATCTAAATTTAATTACTTTTTAATGTATATCTAAATTAAATATTTATTCTAATGTATAATTCTAATTTCACAAAAAAATAATCATAAAATAAAAAATATTATTACAATATAATATGAATGATTATTCTAATATATGAATTAACTATTTTTATTTTATTAAAAAATAATCATTAAATAAAAAATATTGATTATATTATAATATGAATTATCATTACAATTTTCAAACGTTATTATAAAGTCAAATTAAATTATTGATTTAAATTTTAAATTAAATCATAATTAATCAGATTAGATCAGATCAGATTAGATCAGATCAGATCAGATCCAATCAGATCAGATCAGATCCAATCAGATCAGACCAGATCAGATCAGAACTTATTAGAATCAGATCAGATCAGAAAAAATAAGTTGAACGGAACGGAGCCTTAATTGTTAGAGGTAGAAGTGTGTTAAATTTTAATTGGAAGTGTGTTATCCCCCCTCCCCCCCCCCTTACGTGGTGATGCCGATCACCTTCAGAGTGGTAGCGCCACTATGTTGCAGTGTCACACCCGCCATGCCATTCACCCCCTCTTCCCTATTGCTTCATACATTTAGTATAAGGAAAAAAAGAAAGTCAACATAATTTTTACTTCTCTGAAATATGTTATGCTCGTAAAGTTAATACGAGAACTAAATTATGGGAGAAAGAGACTAAGGGTCAGTTTGGTTGGAGAGGAGGGAAGAGCATGGAAGGAAAATTGAATCTCTCCTTGTTTAATTTAAGAATCTGAATGAGAGATAACCTAAAAATTTAAAGTGTTAGCTTCCATTTCCTCTCCTTTCGTTCAAATCAATCCTTTCAAATCAGAAGGATTCTATGTCCGTCTTTTATTCTTTCGTCAACTTTTTCTTGTCATTGTCATTAAAAATATTATTAATGATAAAAACAAAATAAATATAAATAAATAAATCAGAGTAATAATAATTAAACAATTAGTAAAAAATAAATACAATAATCAAAAAATACATAATATAAGAAATAATAATAATAATAATAATACTTATAATAATGATAATTGTGAACTAATAAAAAAAGTAAAACTATTAAACTAATAATAATATCCAATAGTAAGAAAAATAAAAAATATAAGATAAAAATAAGAGTTTAAAAATAATAGATAATAAAAATATTTTAAATAATATTTAATATATTAAAAATAAAAATAAAAATAAAAACTAAACAAATAATAAAATTTAAAATTCTAAATAAATAATATGCATAATAATAATAATAATAATTAATATAAGAAAATAAAATTAAATAATTAAAAAAATTAGATAAGAAACATGTACTAATTAAAATAAATAGTAGATATATAAAAAAGTCTAGAAAATGACAATTAAAATATGAACAAAAAATAAAAATATAATTAAAATAATAATTAAAAAATATAAAAATATAAAAAATAATAATCAAAACTTTTCTCCATTTATCCAACCAAACAAGGTGAACGAAAACTTTCTCAACCCTTCTCATTCTTGGGCCCATTAGATGATCCTGGAGTGCTCTGATGTCTCATTTGTCAAATTGACATTTCTTACCCCACACCCGCCTCGACCCGAACACACCCCACCACCTTCAATTGTACCTCAACTTAATTTTGACTTTGAATTTAAAATTTGATTTCAAAGTCAAAATTAATTTGGAGATGCAATTAGACTGGATGAAGGGTATGTTCGGGTCGGGCGGGGTGGAAGGTTTTCTATAGGGCACCCGGAACCCCCGGAACTAAGGGGCTCATTCCTTCCCATATATTCCATCTCAGCCACCCATCCTCCATCCAAACCAATCGGATGCTAAGAGTTTGAAAAGAAAAGAGGAAAAAGAGGATTGGAGCGGGAGAGTTGCACGAAGGTAGTGCGACATGGTCGGTCTCTGCAATAAAAATTTCAACTGTGTTTCTTTATTTACTCGGTCTCACCAAAAAAGGTTCTCTATCGATTAAAATTATTTACTCCATCCGTACATGTAGATTCTTCTTATTACATGTGGCATATTAAGGGCCTGTTTGGGAAAAGCGTTAGAGATTAGCGTTAGCGTTTTGGATAAAGTTTTAACGGTGCAGATTAATTTGAAAACGCTAACGCAAAACGCTGCCCGTAGATAGCCTTTTGAAAACGCTAACGCTAATCTCTAACGCTATTCCCAAACAGGCTCTAAAAGACTTGGCTCAATATACTTTAATATTTAATGTATTTGATCGTAGATATAAATTTTAAAACTAATATTTTTATATTAAAAATATAGATAAAATATCATAGATAACAAGAAGTGATTTTGACTATCTTACAAGAAAAAAAGATTAAATTATGAGTAAAACATTAAAAATAGAGTAAATTCTAAAAATGATCATCTCTAAAGGTTTGCAAATTACTTTAATTTTAAAAAAGAAGTTTTGGTGTCTCTTTTGTAAATCACAGAATACACCTATGCCACTGGCCTTTTTTGGACCTTAATATATACATACGCACACGACCTCCGCCATATTGGGTTTTTGATTGAGAATATTTCAGTGTTTTAAGCACGTGAAGTTCATATGTACCGTATAATTGTTTGTACGGTGTTACTCGTACATCCGTGATGAATATTATTTACATGAATATTATTTACAAATAACTGAATACTCATTTTCTAGATATTGAATACTCATTTTCCAAAATTTAGTTATACTAAAAAATCATCATTTAATTTTTTGAACATGAGATACTAAAAAATGGGTGCTCAATTACTCGAAAATGAGTATTTATGTAGATGTATAGAAAATTTCATACATCTAGATGTATGCTATAGTTACTTGTGAAATATTGATGCTTACTTTATGTTTGTACTCCTAAACTCCCACACATCCACCCTCTCTTGCTCCCCCCCCCCCCCCAAAACCCTCCTCGCCTGAAAATAAAATGGAACTCGATCTAACTTCATCAAAATAAAAAAGCGTATTAGCATCGGTTATATGGAATAATTAATTCAAAAGGTAATAGCATTGGTTATTCCATATTACCATATAGCTAATGCAATAGATGAACGAATTTGCATCGGCTACATGGAATAATTGATCGATGCCATTGAGGTTTTTGATTGAGAATATTGGGTTTTTGATTGAAAATATTTCACAATGTTTTAGGCATGTGAAATTCATATATACCGTGTAATTGTTTATACGGTGTTACTCGTACATCCGTGATGAATACATATTTACAAGTAACTGAGTACTCATTTTCTACATATTGAATACTCATTTTCCAAAATTTAGTTGTACTAAAAAATTATCATTTAGTTTCCTGGAAATGAGCTATGAGATACTCGAAAATGGGTGTTCAATTACTCGAAAATGAGTATTTATGCGGATGTATAAGAAATCCCATACATCTAGACGTATGCAATAGTTACTTGTGAAATATTGATGCTTACTCTACGTCTGTACTCCTAAACTCCCACCCCATCCACCCTCCCTTGTCCCCCCCCCCCACCCCACCCCGACAATCCTCCTCGCCTGGAAATAAAATGGAACACGATCTACCTTCATCAGAATAAAAAGGGTATTAGTATCAGTTATATGAAATAATCAATGCAAAAGGTAATAACATTGGTTAGTCCATATAACTAATTTAATGCAATAGATGAACGCATTTGAATCGGTTATATGAATAATTGATCGATGCCATTGAGGTTTTGACCCTTGTCCCAAATTAATGAGCTCTTAACCGTGTATGTACCCCTTTTTGCATCTACTTTTTAACAAACGATACAGTTTAGGGAATCTATTTACCTGTTTTTGTATTAGTGTTAGCAATGCAAATGCAACATGCTCTATATGAAAAGGGGAGCTAATTGATAGAATTTTAGATGAGCAAAGGGTTACCAAACTGGGCCATAAGACAGTTGTGTTAAACCACATTAAAAGATTGAATCCAATTGATTACTTAGCTCAATCCAAAAGCTTATATACCAATTTATTTTTTCAACAAATTTATATGTGGGATACTTTAACACTCCTCCTCAAATGAACAACCGGACCATTTTGAATCTCAATGGTTGACCACTTGTAAATTAATTTCCATCCCTTTAAATATTTTTTGAGCACCGACATTTAAAGGACGACCACAAGTAGTTGGGTATGGACTTCGAAACGAGCGGTCGAGTTAAACGGGCCACATGCCGTTGGGTATACATTCCACACAGACAACTAGACTAAAGATTAGAGCCGATATGAATGAACATTTAGGATGTGGAAATGGTTACTAAACTGGGGTCAGGGCGTGCCCTTAAAATTGCACCCCACAAGTTAATTTTAACCTTGGAGTCAAAATTTGACTCCAAAGTTAAAATTAACTTATGAGGTGCAATTGAAGGGGGTGGAGGACGTGCTCGGGTGAGGGCGGGGGGTTTATCGGGACATTAAGGATGATAGGAACCGTCAATTTTATGAACGGGACACCGGAGCGCCATGAGTCACCAATGACATTGCCGGACAATGTCATGGGAACCGTCTCGGTTTATTATACTCCCTCCGTTCGAAAATATTCTTCCCATTTGACTTTTCTTGGTCAAAGTTTGTAAACTTTGACTATGATATGTGGAAAAAATACATTGTATTAGGATATAACTTTAATATCAATTTATTCATTTCGAAATATAGTTTTCAAATATCAAATTTTTATAAAATATATCCATGTATAAATAAAGATATTAGTGGTCAAAGTGTAATCTTGGAGACCGTAAAAAGTTAAATGGAAAGAACATTTCCGGACGGAGGGAGTACAAGGGAACTTTTCCTTTGGGTCTAGTATTAATAAAAAACGTGCACGCGTTACGAGTATTTGTCACTGGGGGGGAATTTCACGGAAGTTGCATCTTTCTTTTAACAAACGATTATTCAAAGATAGATACTTGGCAGCCAAGGAAGGAAGATACTTAACCCTTATTACCGTGTGATTATTTGATATAAATAGGCCAGGGAATCTCAAAGGTAAGATAGAAAGAAGAAAACTCAAAGTTTGTATATATATCAAACATTGATTGTTTATTAATTCATATTCAATTCAGCCATATATAGAAGTGGATTGAATAAAAGTATAAAATGGGTTTCCTGTCGTGTTTTTGGGATTCTTCACAAAGGGCGATTGGGTGCCAAGGGGATAAATTTGACCAGCAGAAGCAGGGTAACAGTAAAAATGAAGGAGGTAAAACCGCCTGCAAAGTGAAAGAGGAAAAGGTAAATAAGAAGAAGAAGGGTATGAGTTCTGCTGCACCCATTCCCATGTCATACTTCCCAATCACTGGCTCCAGATTGTCTCTTTTGTAAGACTTTCTTTTCGGCCATGGATTGATTAATTCACCCGATGGATGCATTTCTAACTTTCTTCTTACTTATTTGGGTTTTGAACTTTTGATATGGGAATTGTAAAATGAATTAAACTATTTATACCCCAAGAATTGTATCCTAATTTGTACACCGCAAGTTTGCACTTTCACTTTGTGTCAGTGTAATGCTAGGATAATTCACACAGACATAAAATGTAAGTGCAAATTTTTGTTAATGCACCATTATTTTGTATTAGTGTATACTATCAAAATGTTAATATATATCTTTGGTGTAATTTTGGAGTAAATTTTTTGGTGTAAGTGTAGCATGGTTGTTGTAAAATGTAACCCCATTTTGACATTAAAATGGTGTTAAATTCTTGGATTCCGCTAGCAGTTTTGTACTTCCTAGTTATCTATTACTAGAAGAAATTCTCTAGAGGGAGAATGTATGTGAAAATTAAAATCCATATGTAATTTATGTTAGTGCATGTAAAATGTTATGTTTTGTTCTTTTATCAGTAATTTGGTTTACTAGTCGTTGATGCCTATGCTTTTTTTTAAATCTTGTTTTGATTAGTTGAAGATAACTAATTATTAAAGAATCTAAGGCGAGTATGTTTTGGTGTTGACTTTCAAAAATTGTCTTTAGATGTGATGAATAAAAGATTGACTTATGGATAGGTTAATTGTGAAAAAAGTATGATGTGTTAGGTAAGTTAAAACTTAGAAAGGGTAAAAAAGTAACGTTTTAATATAAATGGGAAACATTTTTTGGGACAAATGAAAACAGAAAAGAGAAAGACTTTGTGAGACGGATGAACTATAATACTACTCAATGCATTTTTAATAAGTGTTTCTTTTTCGTATATCCCAAAAAACATTTCCATCAAAGAAAAAAATCATGATTTACAGTATATTTCTCATTTACGAAAAATTTAACCACATAAATTTCATTTTCAATATTTTCTAACACTCTGGGATCGGAGGCTAGTAACTTATTATATGTCCTTGATATATGATCTTAAATGTGCAAGGTTTTAAAAACTAAAATAGGAGACTATTTATATATGATCAAGTTTGACCAGATAAAAATTTCAATTTCACACAATGGGGCACTAACAAATGATAGTAACACCCGTATTTTGAATCAGAATGAAAAATATTAAGAAATGTGGAGTATGAAATTGGAGATTTCAATAATGTTCAAAAATACTCCCTAGCCATTAGTAAACAATTAGGGTCCGTTTGGTATACGGAATTGACGAAATTTGAATTGAATTGGAATTGAAATTTCATGGAATTCAATTCTATAGAATTGAATTTTGTCAATTCCAATTCATTTTTTGCACTATCAATTCCAAATTCACATAATTTTTGTGCTACCAAACACCGGAATTGGAATTGAAGTCCTCAATTCCAATTCTTTAGTTTGAATTCCATGTACCAAACGGAGCCTTAGAGAATTAATGAGTACATTAGAAGATAGACTTTTACTCGAAAATAACGTTGAACGCATATCATAGTTAGACATTTTCCTTTTAAACCTATATTTGTAGTGCCATTTTTCATCTTCAACTTGTAAAATTTCCATATCAGGCACAATATTTGTCAACAATTTGGTGCATATATACTATGAAGTATTTTCCAACAATTTTCTTGCTACACTAATGTCCTCAATACATGTTAAAATTTATTACAAAATTGACATTACATCTAATCAATGGTGGAAATTTGCTCAATTTCTTCCATTTGATATTGGAGCGTTAGATCTGCTCAGAATTGAAATTGGTTTTCTCAATTTTGTTATTTCTATACTACGTATGTGTTAAATATAGAATAGCTTAGGTGTCTTAGGTTATTGGGCTGAAAACCCCATTCGAAGGGCAGTTCGGGCAAATGCGGGCCAAACAGAGAAAGCACTCGGTCAATCTGCCCGAAGGCGCAAACGCCCAAGAGCAATCATGGACCGAAATTCCGTGGCGAAAGAAGCAGTTGAGCGGGACCAATTCTCAGCCCACATCCTTGACACACAACCCATATTTTTAGTAAGATGAACGTTACTATTTTTTTATAAATAAATTAAACTAAAGAAAAGAAAAGGTGAAATTTGCACTGAATAGGACTAAAATATAAGTCATTTCTCAATGTAGAACTTAAATTTTTTTATTCCCTAAATATAAATTAATAATGACTAGTGAGAAGAATAATGTCCAAGTGATGCTGGACATTTAGTTGAATAATGACTAATAGATAATTATCAATGGTCCTACATTGGGATATAAAAATATATGGTTCTATATTGAGAATGTCATTATTTTTTAGTCTTATTTAGGTAAATTACCCAAGAAAAAACCTTATTTTGTAAGGCACATGTGAAATAATATTTGTATTTCTCGATTTAGACTTTGTTTATGATTAGACTTAAATAATTTTACATTTTTACCAATAACTGTTATTAGGCGTTTTGTAGTGAAATGCGAACAATTACTTATTTGTGTTAATGAGGAAATGTTGTCTTTTTTCCTTGTTTCACGAGATAGTGGCTAGGTGTTTCTATTTTACAACAAAGGTAGTTGGTAAGATTTTTCATTGAGAATGAAGGAGTACATTCTTGATGTTCTTGAGCAACATTCACAGAGAACAAAGGAAGCTCCATCGATGTCACACCACCAACCTTTTGGACTTTTGGGTGCCCACGCATCCGGTGTTTTCGAAGCCTCTTCGTGACACGTCCAGGCGTACTGTTGGACCTCTCGCCGTTGTACCTCGCTGCAACACGATCCTAAAATGTTTTGTGTTTTTAGAAGTTCTCGACAATTGTATCCTCTGATACGTTGACGTAGAAGTTTGCCAATGTCAGACTTTCTGTTGGGGTATATTTCTTCAGACTTCTGCCCATCATTCTCTTTGACCTTCCCTTTGCTCTAGCCCTCAATGATGGGCTCCAGCTCAGATATTCCGTAGTCATTGTATTAAGGTTGACAGTTGCTAGGGCTATCATTGGAGCTCGAAAACATATTAGTGTGAAAACCGGCAGAGTTTTCATATTTCGGCACCTGATCGATGTCAGATTGCTCAAAGGGGAAGTTATCACTGCGTGGATGCATTTTTGGAGAGTGAGATGAAACTATATTGAGTGAGGTGAGAGTGGATAAATTAGAATTGAAGTTGTGGTAAATTTTAGAGTTGAAACTTTTAAAAATAATTAAGCTGAATTCTAAAAAAATAAAAAATTAAAAAGAAAAGTTAATCACAGTGGCGCGGCAGACTTCAGAAATGGACGCCGCCGCTCTCTTTAAACCCCGCCCCAAGCTACATCCTAACTCCGATCCGGCTTCTGACTTGCACACTGCGGTGCCATACGTAGCCCCTCCTTTCGCAATCGGTCATCGTCGTGACGTGCCCCTCCTTATAGCATATTAGCATGACAAGATCCCCCCATTGTAAGTGCTTTACAAATCTTGAATTTTAATGCCAAGGTACTTTTCTCTTCAACTTATCCTTATTACTTTTTTTTTTCTTTTTGGGATTAGTTCAATTCAAATCAGATCGAATCAGAAAGAATTTTAAATATAACTACATTCAAATCAGATTAGATCAGATCAGAATTTATTTCAATCAGATTAGAATCATTCAGAGCATGTGAAGAGAACATGACCTAAGCCATATTCCCTCTGTCCCTAAAAGATTTCTATAGTTTGACTTTTTTTGGTCAAACTATGACACCATTTGATTATAAATTAAATATACAGAGTAGTTTAAAATAATTAAATATTATAAAAATTTGATATTTCAAAATGATATTTTAATTAATAAAATTTTATTAAATTTACATTATAATTAAATATACCTATTACATAATTCATGGTCAAAAGTTTCAAAATTTGTGAGAAATGTGTATTCCTTCAAAGTTATACTACTCTATTGAGTATTTGAGGGTATTCCCTGCATAGTATAATTATGTGGTTTATGTCGTCATTGCTTGCGCTGCTCTGCATTATTACCTTTTCTTGTGTACAACAAATTACAAGCATGGTAGTCATTATTTCGAATTTCTCAAAAGCAATACTAGGGTACCCTAAAAACAGTGTAACTTATTTGTACACTAGCAGAAAATAGACATATAAGAGTATAAATACTCAGGGTCCGTTTGGTATACGGAATTAATAGAATTGGAATTGAATTAGAATTGGAATTCTATTGGATTTAATTCTATAGAATTGAATTCTATCAGTTCCAATTCATTTTTTACACTATCAATTCTATATCCACATAATTTTTGTACTAGCAAATATCAGAATTGAAATTGAAGTCTCCAATTCCAATTCCATAATTTAAATTCTGTGTACCAAACGGGGCCTCAATGTATATTCGTACATATACATGCAATGTTTGTATGTATCTACTTTTACTTAGTATATTAATGGAATATCTATTTTGATGTACCCCTAATATCATTGTTCTCAAAGTTATATCTATGAGCGGAGGAAGTATAATATTTTCTCTCTCCTTAACAAATTTTAACCATTCAATATTTATTTTTAACATTTTTTTAAATTGCGTCTTAAATCAGAAAAATAAAATTGGGATAGAGAGAGCATTATAAAAAAAAATCACCCCTTAATCCCTTACAATGATGGGTCAAAAAAAAGAAAATACCGACTAGGCGAGTACTCCGTATTTTGTTATTCGAATCTTCCCCGAAGCGCTGACTAAAACCAATCAAGTGACGCCACGTCTCCCCACATAAACATACGAAATAGTGTCCAGGTTCAATGAACCTACAATGCCGCCTTCTCTTCAGGCCATTCTCTCCCCCTTTATATCTCCCTCACGAGCAGTTCACTGAAATGCAGATACCCCAAATAGCTTCATCTTTCTAAGGAACAAATTAAGCTCATTCTTCGAAAATGGCGTTGGCTTTCAGCTCATCCCCCGCACTTCGCGGCGCTTTCTCCGAACGGGCCAAAGGTATTTTCAATATTTCCACAAAGATCGTTTTTTTCTGTTCTTTCCGTCGCCGAATCTGACAATCCCGCCGTTTTGCAGCGTCTCCGACGGGATATATTCCGGCGTCGGATCGTCCGTTTCATCCGCCGCGGGCGGCGGTTAGCTTTTCCCGAAAGCGCTCTGCTTTGAAGCCATTGAATGCCGAGCCGAGCCGTAACGAGGCGGTCGTTGCCTCCGCAGCCACCGTTGCTGCACCTCCTCGTACGATTTCATATATTTAATGATGTTTTGGTCTGGGATTTGTCCGGGGAATTGGAAATGACGAAGTTGCCCTCTTGAAATTGCAGAGACTGTTGATGAAGTTGAGACAACAGAGGACTATGAAGAATTGGCTGATCAGCTGGAGAATGCTTCCCCCCTTGAGATTATGGATAGGGCCCTACAGAAATTTGGGGACGACATAGCCATTGCTTTCAGGTAATTGACATGATCAGTATTGAAATTCAGATGAATTACCAAATATTTACTTGATTGAAACAAAAGAGAGTTTTTTTTTTTTAAATTCAAAGAACTTGATTTTGGAACATAATGGGAAAGGGGATTAACAGAGGAATAGTTTACCACTTTCTTGTAATTATTGTTCTAAGAGTCTTCATCAATCATGATTCCATTAGTTTCTTGAATTGTCATTAAGTGGCTGCTTTTACATTTTGAGCTTTATTTCAAACGCACCAGCTAAAAGCACTTTTTCTTTGGTTTGAAAAAATGAAATGGATTTTGTAAAGTTTTGTGATGAATTGTCTATCGGCAAATGTTGTTTAGCCATTTTTCTGATTCAAATTAAAATCTTTTACAGTGGTGCAGAGGATGTGGCTCTGATAGAGTATGCCCGGCTAACGGGCAGACCATTCAGAGTGTTCTCCCTCGACACCGGGAGATTAAACCCCGAGACTTACAAGTTCTTCGACGCAGTCGAGAAACATTACAACATCCACATAGAATACATGTTTCCTGATTCAGCGGAAGTCCAGGCTCTTGTCAGGAGCAAAGGGCTCTTCTCGTTCTACCAGGACGGGCACCAGGAGTGCTGCCGCGTGAGGAAGGTGAAGCCATTGAGGAGGGCATTGAAGGGATTGCGCGCCTGGATCACCGGCCAACGCAAAGACCAATCCCCGGGAACAAGAGCCGATGTCCCGGTCGTCCAGGTTGACCCTTCCTTTGAAGGGTTGGAGGGCGGGCAGGGCAGTTTGGTCAAGTGGAACCCGGTGGCGAACGTGACCGGGAATGACATATGGAACTTCCTCAGAGCCATGAATGTGCCCGTGAATTCCTTGCACTCTCAGGGCTACATCTCCATCGGGTGCGAGCCCTGCACCAGGCCTGTCCTTCCCGGTCAGCACGAGCGGGAAGGGAGGTGGTGGTGGGAAGATGCCATGGCTAAGGAGTGTGGTTTGCACAAAGGCAACCTAAAGGACAACGGAAGCTTGAACGGGGTCGGGAACGCTAGCGTCCACGGAAACGGGGGCCCACCGGAGGAAAAAGACATTTTTGACACCAAACACATCGTGAAGTTGTCCCGGCCCGGAATAGAGAACATGTTGAGAATGGATGAGAGGAAGGAGCCTTGGCTCGTCGTTCTCTATGCGCCCTGGTGCAAATTCTGCCAGGTATTACAAGCTTGAACTTTTGGCTGACTCAGATTCCATCACTAGTCCTGAGTTTCATTACTTCTAACCAGATGTTTGAGCTTTTGGTTGAGTTAACCGGTTATTCACATCCAGGGCATGGAGGAATCATATGTTGAGTTGGCGGGGAAGCTGGTGCCGCTTGGGGTGAAGGTTGCGAAATTCAGGGCGGACGGGGAGCAGAAGGAGTTCGCGAAGAAAGAGTTGCGGCTCGGAAGCTTCCCGACAATACTTTTCTTCCCCAAACATTCCTCACAAGCTATAAAGTATCCATCGGAGAAGAGGGATGTGGAGTCCTTAATGGCTTTTGTGAATGCCCTGAGATGATTTTAGTACTTATTTGGTGTAATGTATATTTCATGTACTGCTTGTTTTTATCTTTCATTGATTGAAGAAGCATCATAAGGGGAACATAAAGTGTTTTGAAACATGGGAACTTTGGGTATTGAATCGTGAGAACGTAAAGTGTGTTTAAGAACCAAACACCTCTTCCCACACTCCAACCCCCACTTCGCTCCTAAACACTGATTTGGGCCATCCAAGTCGGTGTTTTTGGAGGGTTCGAATGGGGTGTAAGAGTACATAGTGGTTACAGGTTAAAATTATGAATTTTACCAATAGAGCTGCTAGGTGATGCTAGTCATAAAATGAACTTGGTTTCAAGGTCAAAAAGAGCATTTTGTTAAAAATTAGACTAAAGGTTCTACAAAATAAAATGTGATAAAAAAATAATTTTGTCAAATACCTAATGAAAGGACACAACTAAACAAAAATTATCAAGAGACTAAAAATGGTAAAAGTATAAATCTTTTTGGGACCGAGGACATATAAACTACTCCGTAGGATTTAACTTTTTATCCTGATATATGCAAAATTTATGTCGGTGGGCGTTGCAGAGTTTGCAAGTCAAGAAGTTTCTAAGAATACTCAAGTTCAATTTCTTGCAACAATTATACTAAACATTGAGTTTCTGTAAATATCACTTGTAGGGTCCACTCTTTTTTCACCAATCCGTGTTTAAAATTCAATATTTCTCGTTTTAAGAGGGTGTTTGGCAGTGCGCTGCTTTTAATAATTTAGCTTCTACTTTGAGTGGAAGTGATTTTACTCTGTTTGGCATGTCAGCTTCTGTTTTTCACCACCACTATTTTGTACATAGAACACCGTTTCGGAGAAGCAAGTATGAGGTGCTTTTGCTTTCAGCTTTTGTGGAAATCACTTTATCCATAAGTTAATCACTCCCAAACACCCTCTAAATGATGGTCAAACCAATTTTAAGTCACTGATTTAACATTGGGCCTTATAAATTTTTGGTCCATAAAAAGTACCAGGGGTGCCCTATAATGGGCCGGTGAATATGCATAGGGACTGGTTTTTTGCCATCAAGCCAAACCGTAGTGGATAGGCCTTGTATCATCGAATGCAAAACTAAGCATTGGACTTAATTCAAGAGGACATTTTTCGATTTGGATCGGCCTTGTAATCTGTTTTTTACATTCGAAATTATTGTTCTTTTTTTAAAGAAATGTATTATTGCCAATAAATGACTTCTTTTTAGAATTGCTATAAATGAGTTGAAATAAAAATAAGCCTTAAAATTGAATTTGTGACCAATTTACGCATTGATATCGATTGTCATATTATTCTTCGTGAATGTGTCCCACGGAAGCATGTTGTGTCACCGCTGATGGTGTAAATTACCGTGCAAATATAAAGTATAAATGATCGGAAGGGCTGTAGATGGAAACACCAGTAACCCGGTTTGTTATCAATGATAATAGGACTATTACAAAGTACAAGCCGTGTAGGTTAATTAAAGCATGCCTCACAAATGAGGCTTTTAGAGGTATTTATAATAATCTAAGTACGTCAAGCACGTCATTGCTAATCCAGCCGGTCAGATCACTGACCGGTCCCTTTGTATGCCTTCGAGAGAAGAAGTTACGTCTTTCCTTCGGATCTTCTCATTCTCGATCGGTCAGACAGCCCGGGTTGACTAGGTCAGGCGGCGTTGCATTCGGTACCTCCCGGTCGATCAGACCTACCGGGTAGTATCCATGGGTTATTACCCATCAACCACATATGTACCCACAAGACTACAAATTGCTGATATTTTTATTTAGGCACTCTCAAATCCTTTATTTGGTTCTTTGCTATTCGAGTTGTGAATTCTCGATGTTCATGCACCAACTCGAGAGTGGCATTGAAGTATATTGTACTCTGTATTTATTATTGTATTTAATTGTATTGTGGTGGACTGGAGCATTAGATGGGCTGATGTGCCCTTAGCATGTACTCCCTCCGTCCTAGAGTATTTGTCCACTTTCATTTTACACACCATCCAATACACTTCTTTAATCCATTTTTATCTTGTAATTTGTGTATTAAAAAATTATAGAAATTATATATTAATAATCTATATGTTAAGACAAATCAAACAAGAGACTATATTTAGGCTTACACATTGAGAGAATTTGATGAGTCAAAGTGCTTAGATAAACAGTGACAAAAGTCAAAACTGGACAAATATTCTGGGACGGAGATAGTAAATTTCTTTTTTTTATTTGTTTGCCAATTAGAATAGGAAACTTTCTCAAGTCAAAGCAGCCCATCCAACAACCCTTTGGTGGCGGAGCCTTCTCAATGAATCTGGTGCAAACTACAAATAAGGTAAGGACTCTTCTTCATTCAATTCGTATCATCCCCTCGCAGAATTATTTGCAGGTTTTATTTTTCAATTGTGCGTACGTGTTGAATGAATTAATCTTAGGGTTTTATTATCATTATTATTATTGTTGTTATCATTAGGTGAGAAGATAATCAATCAATCAGATATATATATGTGTGTGTGTGTGTGTGTGTGTGTGTGTGTGTGTGTGTGTGAACACATAGGCCTGTTGCCTGATGACATTATCCGTCTCATTTTCTCAAAGCTAACATTGAGGGATGCTGTCAGGGCAAGGTCATTACTACATTGTTGGAGGTTTCTATACGATACGCGCTGCCGTCTCCAATTTGATACTTTTAATGTGTTTGGGAAAAAGGCGGAGCGTTGTTTCTTGAATTATCAATCATCTGGTAAGTTTGTGGCAGCCGTTGATCAGTTCATGCAACTATGGAGGGGCACGAAAATGAGCAGTCTGCACGTTGATTTCGACCTCGGAAAGGATCACGCTTCGCGCATTGATAGGTGGGTTGTGACTGCTTTTAGAATGGGCGTTGAGGAAGTTTGCCTTTATTTCCCTCCTCATTTCGATCCAAGTCGTGAGATGTATTCGTTCCCTTGTTGCGATCTCGTGGAGGAGGAGGACGTTGACAAGTTGCCGTCATCTTCTTCTTTGAAATGTCTGTGCCTGAGATGTTGCAATTTACATCTCTCTCCTCCTAGATGTAAAAGTTTGTTAAGTCGTTTAACGATGCCCGACTTGAGTCGCGTCCCTTTACACGAGAGTGGAGTGAGGTGTACCCTGTCGGGTGGTTTGAATGATCTCACATCACTTACATTGTCTCTGTGCTGCTTGCCTGCCTGGACTACTTTTCATTGATAACGGTGAGCTCCCTTGCTTGAAGAAACTAACCATCGATGACAGATCGATAACAGTCAAGCTGAACTGCCCTAATCTTGAGTCATTTAAATTTAGTGGAGACTCAGCAGAGATGATCTTTGCCCATGTCCCGAAATTGAGAAAAGTGGACATATTGTTCTGGGTCGCTATGCACTCGTGCTTGGCGATATTGGATGACCTCACCAGAAATGTTCCCCAACTTGAAGCTTTATCCCTTTGCATGAATACCGAGGTTAATAATTATTGTAACGTAGTAGTAGCAAGCTAGCTAGCGTCGTTTTCAATTTAAATCGCTCGTATTCCCCCCTGCCCAAACACGCGCACTATCTATTCATTCATCACCTGCAGGTAATACTCCCAATGTCTGGACATGTTACTAGGTCGTGTCTAAGGAAGCTCGATCTACACGTTTGGATCCCATTGGGTTTTGATGTTTTAAGTATCATTTACATGTTAAATGCTTCTCCATTCCTTGAGATATTGAATCTAAAGGTTGGTTGGTCTTCCATGCTTTCTAGTTTTTTTTTTTTTTACGATGACACATTTTTTTTAATCTTTTTTTTTATATCGACAGGTTTGTCTTCGTGCAGGCACCATAGAGAGACAAGGAGGAGATTATGGCAATTGCTCACATTTTCGGTTGAAAGAAGCCAAAATTGAAGGATTTAGTTTTCGTTTAAACACATTGATACTTGTATTATGCTTGCTCAGGAAAGCTGTGGCTCTTGAGCACATGATCATTAAAACCATAAATGGGTGTTCAAAGACAAAACAGACGTTGACATCGCTTCTGCAGAAGAATATCATCACTACAAAAGCACAAGTGATAATCCAATGATTTTCAATTTGACTGTGAGAAGATCGAATATGATGCAGCAGATTATTATGTTGTTTTTTATTTCTTCAACTACTGTCTGACCTATATATATATATATATTATAGACTAGTTATTTGTGCCATCATCTGCTTGATAATGTTTTATATATTTCCAACTACTTTGTATAAACTAATTGTGTGATTAGGAGGTGAGAAAAGGATGTTCCAAAGCAACCTCGGCAGAAATTCTTTTTGTCGGATCATAGCAAAGCAGCTTCTGAAATATATAAAAAAGGCAGCGTGGTTAACCCTTACTTTGTTATCAATATTGTTAGCATGATGAATAGCTTTAATCTAGCTCACCCAAAGAAGATCATTTCCCAGAGGACCAATATCAGGAATGATTTCAGCAGGCTAAAAAAAATTGTGTGAAAAAAGAGAGATGTAATAAAGCTATAACCACTTTTTTAAAAAATTACAGTACTTTCTTTCAAGAATTAAGTATGGCTTATAATATACCTGAGGATACAGGGGCATCTGTTGTGGGAAATAAGGAAGGCAGGACACTCCTGGCCAGCTTTCTTCTGTAGGAGTTCCAAGTTTCCTTCAAAGAAAAGCAACAATATCAGTTAGTTACACACAAACTCCAATTGATACTCGGCACAATATTGAACAGAGAATTGAAAACTTACTAGAAAATTCGATGTATTATACTCGACTCCATTTCAATTCCAGAGTTTTGATCCTCTTGAAAAAGTGGTTTTAGTTCATAAAACCCGGCATATATACACCCAACTGACCAAATATCCACTGCTGGGGTGTAACCTTCAGAGCCAAGTAACAATTCTGGTGCTTTGTAGAGAGTGGTGGCCTAGCAGGGAAGGGTTATAAACACACAATTCAACTTTTACCATGATTAAATACTAAGCATGAACATTGACATAATTGAAGAATTCGACACAATGATTGTTACATTGAAGGGAAAAGTGAACCTGTGGAGTAAGATTAACATCAGTAAGGAACCACTCTCTAGCACATCCAAAGTCAGCCAACTTCAGTTTCCCATTAGCAATAAGTATGTTCTCTGGTTTCAAATCTCGATGAATTATGTTTCGATTGTGAAGATAAGCAACAGCAGCTAACATTTGTTTAAGCAACCCCTATAAAATAGACAGTGACACTTTTAACAATCAAAACTTGAAATACTTAATAATCAAATATTATTGTTGTTTGTTTTACCTCTGGATGGGCAGGTAACGCTTTCAGTTCCATGAAGTCATTCAAAACTCCGAATGTGTGTTCCATTACCATACAGATTGCATTTTTGTGGTAAAACACATGCTCCATCCTAAAAATGAACAATACAAGCATGAAAACCAAAAAAATGTACTAAACATTTATGCAATTATTAAGCTTGCATAGGTTATAGTTAAGGTAGGTGACCCTGACAAGACAAGTAAATTAGGATTGAGGGAGTTATGCAAGTTTCATATTCATATACATTGTAAGTGAATATTGTATAACATACCTTACTATATTCTCATGTTGAACAGTGTACAATATAGAGAGCTCTCTTGCTACACCTTTTGTAACTTCGTTATCCATCAATTTGATCACTTTCATGGCATATAAATATGGAGATGCTGCATTCATCACCAGATACACACTTCCACAAGTGCCATATCCAAGAGCGCCTTAAAATTGTATATCCACGAACCACTCCCTTGAAAAAAGAAATAAAAACAATATAAAGGCACACAACTGATAAAAGCCCTAAGAGTAACTGACCAAATGTGTGGGTGTTCCTATGAAGAACCCCTTATTACAGAGTTCCTTCGAACTTTTGTCCTATTGAGCCGCTTACCCTACACTAAAACGCTAGTTACACTTTCGCTTCGAATAACAGAAATTTAGTTATTAGTAAAGCCGAAGTAAATGAGAGACCTGTTTTTAAAAAATTGCTAGTAAAGCTGAAGTAAATGAGGGGCCTACTTAAAACCTCAAGCTCGCGTACAGTGTTATCCAATAAAAAGAGAAACCTGCCATACCACTAGTGTATTGAAAGATTTTTCTTTAGACTTTATTGAGTTGGTCGAGCTAAAACAAAACAAACAAGAAGGAAATGCTATAACTAAATTATATTCGAATAACCATATATGAGGTATTTATGGGACAAAAAAAGCAATCCAAAAAGAACAATAGCTAACAAACAGACAAAGATGCTTTAAAATCAACTGCAATGCCATAAAAAACTTAAGGGAAGTGTATGACACACACACACCTTCAGTTCATTTTCATCATCAGGAATGCCTTGGTTGCTCTTCCCTTCAAATATTTTGTTCAGTTCCATAATGATGAATCGACCGTTCTCATCCAATGCCTTACGAACTTCATCCACAATGTACTTTGCTTGATCCTCCATTTCCCTATGGACAAAAAAAGAAAAAAACAAGCCGATTATGTTCGCGAACAAGCAAAAATGTTTCCATGATTTTAAGTTGAATTCCAACAGTAACTAATCTCATCAATTAGGCCCCGTTTGGTACATGGAATTCAAACTATGGAATTGGAATTGAGGACTTCAATTCCAATTCTGGTGTTTGGTAGCACACAAATTATGTGGATCTAGAATTGATAGTGCAAAAAATGAATTGGAAATGTTTCATGGAATTCCAATTCCAATTCAATTCTAATTCCATCAATTCCATATACCAAACGGACCCTTAGTGACAGAGCAAGTAAGAACTTCAATATGCCGGAATCAAAATAAATTATAGGGAAAAAGAGCAATATGATTAATCTTATTTTAGGATGGCAAACAAATAGGTGAAAACTAGACACACAAACAGAGAGATCAGGTGTTTAATAAATAATATTTCTCACTAAAAAGCATAGTCAAAGTAGTGTGTCTTTATCACATCAGCAAAATATGAAGAAGAAGAAGAAGAGAAGCAATCAATCCATCAACTCGAATTTGAGAGCTATCACTTAGAAACAAAGAAATTAAAAGCAGCAATACGCAGTATAGCTGCACAAAGAGATATATCAGGTAAATGAGATTAGAAATTACAGGTAAATGAGAAAATCAATCACTTCTAAGGAAAATCACCAAATTATGCAAAATAGGATTCCTTGCCTCAAATTCAAACAGCTGATGTTAGCGAGAGAACTTTGCTTGTGCTGAAGCAAATTAATCTGCTAGAAACATGAAAATAATTCAATATCAGATTACAAATAATTGGAAACAAAAGAGTACAAATCGCAACAGAAATCTACAGATTATCTAGAAAAAAACAGTTCGAAGTCAAACACATCGCATCTCCGCACCAGCCATATTGAAGCAATGCGCGCCTTGACATGAACTTGAAGAATCGCAAACTAGATTCGATGCTTTTTTATTCAGACGAAAAACGGAAAAATGGCATGTGATTTGAAATTGTAAAAGGAGATCAGAGAGATATCATAAAAACCTTGAACTTGAGTTTTCAGACGAAATGTCAAATTCATTCGCAAAGTGAGAGAGCAGAAGAAGAGGTAAGAGTGGAGAGAGAGACCCGAGAGATTGAACAGCGCGAAATATGGGAAAGCTGGTTCAATCTCCCGCGCTACAGATATGTATACGGTTAGACGGGAACAAGGTAGGGGTTCTTCAAAGATATGACTTTATTCTATCGGTTTCATTGTTCCAAAAAAGGTGGAATAGCCCACCCCAGGCGCCCCTACCCCTTGCCCGACAAGAATGGTGGAGGAAGTAAATCATGGTGACTCAGTCAGCCAAGAACGCTAGACCCGTACCCACTGCGCACAAGGAGCCTCCTCACCCTTTATGGAATTTTTGGATAGCTCCCACACTGCCGCTTGCGGGACTCGATCCCTGGTCATTGTTCCAAGCTTTCACGCTCTTGACCAACTGAGCTGCCCATGCGGGCTATTCTATCGGTTTCATAAATATGCATCATTACGTCATTGTTTCAAAGATAATGTCCTGCAGTTCTTTATAACATTGTAAAGTTTGCTTGACTCGTTGCGCAGTTTTATAATGTTGCTCACCAACGATCTGCGGTTGCATCATTGACGTTGAATCTAAGGAATCAACTGCTGGATAAATACCTTTCGCAGCTAAACTTCTTGAGAGCACAGTAGTTGCATCTAAATGTGCAAGTACATAAACTGCTTGAATCGAGGTTATGGAACCTTCTTTGGTTCTCTTATGTCAGTGTCTTATTGATTAAAATACTCTTTAAACAGGGCCGGCCCCGAAAATTGAAAAAATAAAAATGGTCCGGTCCAAAATTTACATTTTGGGCCCTGTTTTTATTTTTTAGAATACTTTTCCTTTAAAATTATTAAGGAATTTAAAAATATGGGGCCCTAAAATTTTAGGCGTCCTGTGCGGTTGGCCACTTTGCACACCCTCCGGGGCACCCATGTCTTTAAATATTAAATAAATAGCTCTATTGCCCCCTGTGATTTTGTAAATGTGCACGAACATTCCCTCTCTATTTTTCTTATTATCTTTTTTTCTTTTTTCTTAAAGAGAAAAAAAATGATTGTGTTTGAAATAATGAAAATATTTTTTTAAACTATGTTTTTAAAAATTATTTTAAAAAACTATTGGTGTTTGAAATTAAAAATTTAAAATATACTTCATTTGTCTTAAATTAAATATTTTTATTTTTTTTCTAATTTTTTTTGAATCACTTGCGACCAAAAAAATACAAAGTAAAGGTAAAAGAGACATTTGAACCATTTTTTTACTAAAAAATAAAAATGGACAAAAACACTAAGACGAATGTAGTATATCTTCTGATGTAGTTTTAAATTTATAATTTTGGACATATTATCAATTAAATTGAATTAAAAATTGAGTCGGTTAAGCATCTTAATGCGTAATGATACGAATGGAAAGTAGGAGTAATGCTCCGTAATACATAGTGTTTTTGTTGTTGTTATTATTATTTTATAATTATTGTACGGAGTAGTAATTATTACTATTATTATTATTATTATTATTACTATTATTATTATTATTATTATTATTATTATTTCAAAAAGGGCCGACTTGCGGGCTTGAATATATATATATATATAAAACTCGAGCCCGGCGCTCAATTATGTGAGCCTATATTCTTAAAGCCGGAGCGCGGCCCGCATCTCAAAATACCAAAACCAAGCCCATCATTTTACAAGTAGATTTTTGCAAGGGGAATGGGTACACGGGCCGGGATCTAATCTACTCTATAAATCTCATAAACTTGAAAAAATTTTCTGGTCTGAACCGGGTTCAAAACCGGTATCTGGGTCATTACAATGATAAAATCAAATTTTATTTTTATTATTAAACATTAGCTTTTCTTTGTTCTTATAGTACCATTGCCTTAGTCCTAAAAAACTTTTTCTATTTTGATTATTTTTGTCAAAATGTGACACTTTTTTCATAGTTTAAATATAATTTAAATAAATAAATATTATAAAAATTTGTTATTTAAAACATATATCCTAATATGCACTCAATTATATTGAATTTACATTAAAAATAAATATTTTTTTCAGAATTTGTAACCAAATTTGGTACAATTTGATAATAATTGGTATTGTTGAATATTGTAGGATAAATCCCTATTTATAGGAATTATATAAGAGAGTTCTAATCATAGTAGAAAAACAACTATGGTAACACTACAATAAGAAAAACAATATGATAAAGAAAGTAATTAAATATAATATCTATTTTCTATTATCTAATGATCGTAATAAAAGTGTCATGATTTAACTAAAAAAGTTATTAAAATATGAAAGATTTTTAGGACGGATGTAAATGATTGATTAGTTTCATGAGCAGAGTATTAGTCACACTTTCCTTTTTAGTTAAATTGTGTGCAATATTAATTAGAACTAAAATATACTCCGTACTACATATATGTTTCATAAAATTATACTTTGTATAATAAAATATGACATTTAATATTTTTATTATATTAAAAAAAACTTGTAATATCAATATATACAATGCGCAATGCACAATGTAAAATACATATATTCAATACCAATAAATTAAGTCATTGTATAGTGTCAGCACTCGATCTTACAAGACAGAATATAAAAAGTCTATTTTAATACGGATAATAAGTTTAACATTTTAGTTTTATTTAAATATATTTCTTACAACGTTTTAAAAATAGAAATTTATCTAAATAGCACTAAAACATAATGATCTTCTCTAAATAGCATCATATGTTTTTATTTTTCAATATAGCACTTATAGTCATTATTCAAGTAAATGTTCACCACCACTGGATATTATTCCTCCTTCTAAAAATTATTAAGTGCTATTTAAAGAATAAAAGAGTTTAAATCCTACATTAGAAATACCTTATTTTTTGGTGCTACTTAGTACAAATATTTCTTTTAAAAAAGCATACCAAGGGCCATTTGGACAAATAAATCTCTATATCTAGCAGTATTTATTGATCTTGGAGTGACATAGACACACACAATAATTTTTCCGGTTATATATATAAGATTCGAATTAGATCTTATTTATTACAGCAAGCTAAGCTAGCTAATTAAGCTGCGGTACGTATCTGACCTTAATTCTTGACTAAATACGAAATTTGATTCACAATGAGGAAGAATCATCACCCCCTACCCCCATCGTCATCCGCTGCCGCCATAGATGCTTCAAGTCACATGCCGCTAGCGGCGGTGGGTGTTAGGCCACCACCACCGCCGCCTGTGAAGCTGCCGAAAAACGACTGTAGCTCTGGCGGCAACACCATGTTCAGACCGTACGTAAGGTCAAACGCTCGCCGTCTCCGCTGGAGTGCCGATCTTCACCGCCGATTCTTGGCTGCGGTTGAGTTGCTTGGCGGAGAACAACGTACGTAAGCAAATAAATTATATTCCCTTACTTCATAAGTTTCCTTTTTCTCATTTGATTTCTAACGATTTCAATGCAACACTATGATCATTAATATTTTTTATTTATATATAGATGTATATCATGAAAATATAATAATTCAGAATTATATTTTCAAACGAATATGTTGATATTGAATTAAAATGACATGTAAAAGCATTTTTTGTAATTTATATTTTTGAAAAAAATCTATTGGTTTTAAATATATATGACAAGAAAATAGATTTTTGTTATAATTTATAGTCAAAGTTTAAAAATTTTCTTTAAGAAAAACCAAATTGGAGAAAAAAATTGGAACTTGAAAAAATGTAGCTCGATCACGCGAAGTAATTTTATTAATTAATCTAAAATCAAATTTAAGCATGCATTTTTATACCTTTTTTTATATTAAGAATTTTTAAAAATTTTATATAAAAAAAATCTGTACAATAAGGCGTTTTATGAGACGCAGGGAGAACTATTTGGTAATTTCTGCGTAACCGTAGACATTAATTAAGACGACGTAATATATAAAATTAAATAAACAAAAGTAGTTTATTAAATATTTGAGGCGTGTTTAATTTGTTTTAAGTTCATCACCATTTTTTGTAATTATCGCAAATAAATAATTGAATTTAATTTATTTTGTTTAAAATAAATATATCATAGGTTGACATTCATTTGACTTGACAACTAACCAATGTAGGTGCAACCCCAAAATCTGTGTTACAAGTGATGGGCACCAAGGAGTTAACCCTATCTCACGTGAAAAGTCATCTCCAGGTTCATTTATTTAAAATATTATTGATTTTTTAAAAAAATTTTAAGAAATTGATTACATATATTTATTTAATTTATTGAATTTAATTCTATCAAGCCACAAATATTTTATTATTAATTGTGTGAACAGATGCACAGAAGCCATAAGCAAGAAAGAATTATTCAAGCAGGTATATGCAACCAAGTTTTGATGTTTTCTTTGTCCTTTTACGACGAAATTAAATCACGTAACGGCTGAATATTTATTTTTTTTTTGTACCGCAAAAAAGATGTAACGGTCGAATATTTTATTAATTTTCTCTAAACATACTGATTCGAATAGTGTACATATAGTTAGTTTCCCATTAAGACCAAAAATCTCTTCGAATCGCACTTTGTTCCACGCACAAGATCTTGCTAGTTAGCTAATTAACTGGTTTATGGAATTATGGCTATTGATAATCTCATTCAAGACACAAACATATACTACCTCCGATCCAGTATATTTGTCCAGTTTGACTTTTTCAAGTCAAACTGGACAAACTTTGAACTTCAATTACTTTCAATTTATATTGCATATTAGCATAATGAAATACAATTTTGAAAGTTCTCAATACGATAAATCCAATAAAGTCATTTTTATGTTAAAATACATTACGATTTTTATTTAATTGAAACTCAAAGTTTGTCCAGTTTGACTCGAAAAAGTCAAACTAGACAAATACATTGGGACGGAGGGAGTATAAGGCTATGTTTGGCATACGAAATTCAAATCACAGATTTAGAATTGGGAACAACAATTCCAAATTTTCTATTTGGTAGCACAAATGTGTGTGAATTTAGAATTGGTAGTGCCGAAAATGAATTCAATTTCATCCAAATCAATTCCAAAGAATTTTAATTTTCAATTCAATTTCAATTTCGTCAATTCCGTGTATCAAATGGACCCAAAGAATTTTTTGTTATAGTTACCCATGAACTCTTTGTAAAGTACATTTTTTTTTCAAATTTTCAAAAATATATCATTAGCTTTTATACTTTTAATAACATGTGTATTTTACCCACGAGTTCTTTAAAAAATAGAATACAGGTTTTCTCTTGAATTTTTAAAAGTGCATTATTATTTGTACATATACTTTTTATAAGATGTGTGTATTTTCGCCCGAACTTTATTTCAGAATTCAGAATGTTTCTTTAGTCTTATACTTTTTAAAAAAGTGCATGGTTAAAAGTTTTAAATTTATCAGCTTATTAGTGTAAAATTTTAAAATTAAATTTGTATATTTAAACACTATATTAAATTTTTTTTTCAATCATACTTTTTCCTCTTTGAGTAAAATTTACACTTTTTTTTGGATATCTAAAAATAAAAGAATGGACATTTTTAATTATCTCTCCAAACATCATTTCTGGAACATGAATTTGGATTTCAAATCTGAATTGGGATCAAATACCATGTTTGAGAAACTTAAAAATTTTGAATTTAGATTTGAGTCAAATTCTACACATTCATAATAAAGTTTAATTTAAAATCCATGCACATCCTTTTATCATTTGAAATTCAAGATTTCAAATTTTAGAATTGAAATGCATGAATTGAAATGAAATGTTAGTTGACAAACACTACCTTATTACATTCGTGGAAATTTATAGGTGGAACATTGCAAGTGCGTAAACAAAACAATGTTAGATCATGGGCTGTCGACCGACAGGTGTACAAGGAGCGCCCGGCCCATGGATACTATAATATATCACGCCCACCTCCGGACCGTTACTTTATCGACCCACTCGGCCCGATGCCCCCTAGCATTCCACCGTGCATGAGGTTTGTTTAATTTCACTTCGAGTGGATTTCCAATACAGTCCTTTATAATAAAGTACGTTCTCAATAAATAATCATTATTAACGTGATCCTTTATAATTGAGTTGTATTTTTCAAATAGTTTTATGTCAAAAATGTTTACTGAATGAGAGTTAAATAGAGGGTATTTTTGTATTTTCTATTATTTAAACCATGAATAAGACTTGAAAAAAGTTTTTTTCCAATTAAGTGGGTGGTTGCCAAAGAACGGACCCGAGTCGGCTCATGGACTTCATTTTGAGAAAACACTTACTTAGAAATTATGAGTTTGAAAAATACTTAATTATATAGAAAAATTTTGAGAACATATTTTAAATCTAGATGAGAGAAAATATCAAAATACATTCTATTTAACTGATATTTAATAAACATTTTTGACGGAGGACCATTTTGAAAATAAATTTAAATTATAAAGGATCAACTAATTATTAATTGAGTACTAATTTGGAAAAACACCTTATTAGAAGGATGGTTTTAGAAATTTTACTCTTTAGTTTATTTATTCATTGAAATTTAATTAGGTTGTTTAATTAATTACTTCGTACTTTTAAGTAAATTAGTATTAACAAACATTTCTTCTGATTAATGCAATAGCAGGAGAATGGATTATACGCACCGCTCAGAGCCAAGAACCATCTTGTTCCCTGACTTGTTCGTCCCGTGCAATGCTGACAGTAATAAAAAACTACAGCGGGTAAATTTCACAGTTTTGAACAAGTCCTAATTTGAAGTCTAAAGTCTAAACTATCACCATATAAAAAAGGGCAAGGTTAAATGGCCATTCATTTTGACCGGTCACTAAAGCTACTACCACTCTTCCATGCTTCGTTCTTAAAATTCATGATTCTTACCCTCTTAACCTCTTGGTAAACTCCTTGCCCCTAAATTTGCGAGGTGCAGTTGACTTAGCGGGGGAGGAAATTAGGGGATAAGAATAATCAATTTTACGAACGGAGTACCGTCAGTATCCGAATCAGGGCATTGGCTTTCCTGACCACTAAAAAGCAGTGACCATAGAACCGGCCCGTATAAAAAAATGATTTGTTAAAATTCGGGTGAGCCGAAAACAGCGAGTAGAGTGTTGGGTAGAAAATAACGATTTGGATATAAAGTCGAGACCCACTATTTTAATCCAAAAGCTTAAGCTGATAGATAAGACTTTACTTTTCTATATATATGCTAATGGTATTTTTCTTTATTTTTCGATATGAGATTCCAACATGGTTTATTAGAATAAGCAGGTCAGAAATAAGGTTGGGGGAGGAGGTTCATCGTTGGTCGGGGAGAGGAGCGGCGGCGCAAAGTCGACAGGGAATGGGTCGTCGAAAAGCTCATCGGAGCCATCTTCATTGACCACCATGGATATTGACATTAACGATGATGATGTCTCTCTTAGCCTTACTCTTGCTTAATTAATCCTACCCTTAATCTTAATTGTACATATATATAGCTAGCTAGTTTAATCTTTTTAATTTATGCATGTCGTCGGACAATCAATATTATTATTTCGACATGTAATCAGGCCATTTAGACGAATTCACTTAGATGGTGCGCCATTGGTCCGGGTTTGGGGTGTTGCATTTCAGTTTTTATAAAAGACAACGTGTAAAAATAAAAAAGATGGATTTTATTTCAAATATTTATTGCATGTGAAACTTTTAACATGCAATGTTAATATTTATCTAACAATCAATTAATTATATGAAATAAAATACACTTTACCAAAAAAAAAAAAAGTAAACAAAAGATTTAAAAGTATGCGGTTTCATTAATTTTTGTTGGGGCACATATCCATAAATCTAAAAAAAAACTCCGAAGCTTACTACATTAATTTAGTCGGGGCATTGGCCATTTGGCCCCCAACTTAGTAAAACTAGATCGGCCCCTCACTCAATATTGATCGGCGGCCTAATTAGTTGTAAGGATAAATGGGTATTTAAACTTGTCAAAAATGTTTATAAGCTATTATTAATTTATAACTCAATTGATTACATGTTTGCTTGTTGATAGAATTTAGAACGATGAGATATGGACAACTGGATTGGATAATAAAATAATTGGGTTGAACCACATTAAAAAATTGAATCCAATCAATTAGTTAGTTCAACTCAAGAGCTTATATACCGATTAATTTCCTCACACTTTTCCGATGTGGGATGCTCTTTAACACTTGTGCTTATAAGATGATTTATAATTTGTTTATAAGCTAGAAACGTAAGTAGGTCTAACCTAATACTCCATATTAGGTTAAGTAAACTTTTAAGTAAATTTTTTTCATTTTCCTGTATGTTTTCCAGATTACTTACAAAACAATCTCTCATCTTTAATGAATATTCCAAAACGGCTTATCTATCATTTACTTCGTAAGTCATTATGTTTTAATTATATGAAAAAATATATAACTTATAAATAGTTGATGACTAAGTGTTACGGAGTATTCATTTATGAATATAAGGCGTATTTATAAACCAATTTACCTTCTCTCAATGACTGTCAGGCCAGGCGGGAGGGACGGGGATGAGGCTCATCCTTTATGAATAGAAGGCGTATTTCATAAACCAAAAATTACGGGGTAATTTTTAAAATAAGGCTCATGATGGTAAAGACTATTAATATATAATGTCATAAAACACTCTAAAATGTAAACATTCATAAGCAATGATTACGCTTCTACTTGTATTTAGTAGATAAAAACACAAGTCCTATTTTAGTACCTGAATATGAGTTTAACATTTTAGTTTTATTTTGTTTATTCATAAAAAATGGTAAATTTCTCTCCTTGAGTGAGAAAGTATATTCCAAGAGTAAATGTAAAATTAGGTTAGTCACGAAATGGATATGCATGTTTCTATTACTTTGTGTTTGGATTGATTATAGTTTGCATGCAATGCAACATTTTTTCTAAAAATCATATAATAATATATATGTTCCTACCTTTCACCTTCACCCATCTTATTTTCAATTACCCAAACCATTTCCTCTCTCCCAATTACCTATATAAACATCTGCTAAGTATGCACACAATAATACATATTCTCGGATCCATCAAAAACTAAACTGCTTGAAATGGCTTCAAAAGTTGTCTTCATCTTATTAGCTGCCGGAGCTTTTGTTTTTGGCGCGAATGCTGGTCGGAGCCTCGGCGGTGCTGCCGGGCTTTACGAGAAGAAAGGAGTCAATGACTATGAGGACCAGAAAACCTTCTTCCACTATAAGTACGGGTTTCCCCCCTACTACGGCGGAGGTGTGGGAGGAGCAGGCGGCGGAGGAGCTGGTTTTGGGCCGGGTTTCGGCGGAGGCGCCGGATTCGGGGGCGGTTTGGGCGGCGGCGGAGGAGGCTTTCCGACCCCGGACCTTGGCAGCGGCGGCGCGTCGGGGTTCGAGCCCGGTGTCGGGAATGGTTTCGGGTCAAGCTTTGGCGGGTTCGGAGGTGGTCAGTCGGGTTTTGGTGGGGCCGGAAGTGGGTTCGGGTCCACGGTCGGAGGCCTTCCGGGCGGCGGCTCCTCCGGCTTCGGAGCCGGAGGAGGCAATGCCGGGATTGGGCCGAACTTCGGCGGGTTTGCCGGAGGTTCCTCCGCGCAGTTCGGAGGTGTAGGGGCCACGGGCCCCTTTGGCACTAGACTCGAAGCTGGCCTAGGGGGCGGCCCCACCGCAGGCGACAGCAGTCCTAGCGGTGACACCGACAGTAAGGTGCCACCTGCGGGAATCATCGGCGACGGCCTGTAGACTATGAATGCATGTTCCCTTTCAAATTTAATTTCATAATCATATCACAAATATTATTATACTGAAAGAAACATAATCCATCCTCTTCTAATGTTGTATTTCTGTTATAAGTTATAGTAATTGTGACATGCTTTCACCATATAAATATATAAATGTACCAGAAAAATCAGTTGAACTAATTAAATGGAGGAATCTAAAACAGAGCTGAGGAAGAAACAAGACATTGATTGGATTTTGTTTTTAAAGTACATAAATATATATATATACCCATTGAACAAAGGATGAAATATATGTTGGGATTATACATTATAGGGGAGGGAGGCAATATATATACAAGCAGGGTTTAGAACCAGAATCCAAACACACCATAACTAAGCTGCCTCAGCAAATCCAACGCGCGCCTTTCCATAGTCAAAAACCGTGTGGTATCGGCCCATGAAAACGTCTCCCAATATCCTACACACCAATGTAAATAATCATCAACAACAAAACGTTATAATTCAAAAAAAGAAAAACGAAAATCAGGCACGAAGATAAAAACGTACCAGAGAGGTCCGCGGGGAGGGGGGACATCCAAAGCAGTAAACCCACTGATGCATTGTGCTGCAGAGCCCTCTCCCAACTTCAATATGTACTGCTCACATATACATATCATAACACCAAACACAATTCAGCCTTTTATTGGTTCAAATTCAACCATCTAAAAACACACAAAAAACTCACCTCCTCAGCAGATAGATCAAAGACCTTTCCACCAATGGAGAAGGAAATGGTAGGCATGGAGGAAAGCTTTCCACAGTCCACGCCGGATTCTCCCATGGGACTTGGCAGCCGCTCACAAAGCTGTATGTATTTTATTTTTTTATAGAATTGTGGAGATACACTGCAAAGTTAGAAGCTTTAATTACTTGTCTCCAATGGTTTTGTTGTTTTTTACCTCGCTGGCGTAAGAGAGAATGTTGTTTTGAGTCTGGTTTTGACTGAGCTGGTTCTGCATCCAAACAACAGCCATTTCACAGGCAGAGCACATTGCATCATGTAATCCGACCGATATACCATCTTTCTCATCCACCACGCTCTCAATTCCCATACTGCCCTCATAAAGAAAGATTGTCTGATATGTACATATATATGAACCAAACAACAAAAAGAAACACATAGGATGGGAATGAAACCCAACCTAACGCCACGGTTTCCATCAAAGGTACACAGCCCAACTTGGGAGCATATCTTCTTTGGCCGTGCCTGCGAAAAACATCAACCAGTTAAACAATTTTACCACAGGATCTTGTTTTTTTAACCACCTTAAAGGGGGGTGAATCTATTTACCTCCGTCACTAGCAAATCAATGATTCTTTGCCCATAATTTTCAACCACAGCTTTGCATTCTTTGCTGACTACTCCATCAGCCCCAATGGCATGGTTGATCATCGTTATAACAGACTGCACATTTCACATGAATAAGTTGCGCTTAAATATACTCTTCAAAGCCAAATAATATACGCGTCCCACAAAACATACCGTTGGACCAGCTAACAAAGAAGTTCCAGAGTCTGCAATGGCCGAACATCCACTGCCACAGTACCCTAAGGATGACATGATAGTAACCATAATGACTGGATTTACGGATATGCAACAAGTGTGGAAAAAAAGAATAGAGTAGAGCATATACCAGTAGGTTTACCGCCGATTAGAACATCGCCCATCTCAAACTGCCAATAACCTTTCTTTGACACGGGAACATATGTGTGTTCCCCTTTATAGTGTTTTGGGTCAGCGCCACCAAACACAATTTCTCCACCTTCTTCTTCTTTTACCTTCCGGTTTAGCCAAAATGAGAAGACCGGGTCCTTGACTAAACCTTGGTTCACCATGTTGTACCTGCAAGTTCAAATAGTTTCTTTTCAAATGCAAATCCGAGTGGCGGGTAAAATTAAGTCTCGGTCATACCAAACTGGAACAGAATCTCCGACTGAGATCTCTTGGAAGCCAAGACCCAAGATTCCATCAAACTTGGCTACTAAAAATGTCACGCCCGGCTCACTTGTTGCCTCAATAAATTCCTGAAATTGTTCATAGTGTGAGATTTGAAACTCCAATGTCACAAAACATCATAGAGATAGATAAGGTAAAGCTAACACGCGCCTAATCTCACCTGATTCTTTACAACAAGATCACCAACTTTGACATCGTCTTGGCTGAAGAAGCCAGCTATCTCCCCAGTTCCATAATGAATTTCGGCATGTTTCCCTATGAAAGGGTAGGCAATTCATAACAAGATTATGACAATCACTTATACTGCTTATAGGGCATAACTCTAAGTTTCTGATGGTGTGCTTGGAAGGAGAACTTTTGAGATCTTAAACAAATTAAAACATTAACATAATTTGTGATTGCTTTGAAATATTTCATGGATCAAGATAGCCCTCCAAAAGGCTCCCCATCCAAAGCACACCCTAAGCAAACTACTAAGTGGGTCACAGACACAAACCATTGCTCTTGTAAGTACTGGATTGGCTAGATGCGTACTTTGAATGGAAGAAACAGGCCACCTAGATACAGAAAGAAGCATAAGTTAAGTCAATAGCCCTTTTTTTATCCTATAACACATATTTTTGACAATGTCACCGGCTCCCAGAGTCACGGGGCCATATATATTGATCGTTTAATACCGGATCTGTACTTAACTAATGGAGGGGTATGGGGTTGATCAGATGCTTACCGAGAGATAACACTTGGATGAGGGAACCCATAAGTTAGAGCTTCCAGTGTCAAAGATAACAGTAAACTTTTGAGGAGGAGTTCCAACACCAATCTCACCAAAGTATTGAGCATCCATGTAATTCTTCAGTGCTACAGTGTCAGTGTCACCTGAATCCCCATGCCTACCAAGTAAGTTGTACTTCCTCCCAGACACCCTCACAGAGTCTCTGGCTTTCGTATCAAGCCCTGAGGCAACCCGATTGTTCCGATCAATTTTCACCTTTTTCAACCCAATTCTGATAAACCCATCATCTGCCGCGGAGAAGATGATGGGGAACAGAAGGGACGAAATGAACAGAGTGGCCAGCAACGATTTCGCCCCCATTTTAGACCTATATGAGTACACGTATATGAATGAATAATGAACAATCATGAAAAACCATACATCAGGAACAAAAAAAGGATTCATTTTCACTAACACAGAATGTCTGATCTGTACATACACAGGTAAAACTAACAATACCCAGAAACAATTACTGAAAGAAATGCAAATAAATCAAAGTGGGCATGCATGCAACATCGGAACTGTTCAGTAAAACGTTCAAAAATCGGATCTTTTTCCTTCCACCAGAGAGAAAACGCAACGCTTTATCAAAATACGAGTAGTGAGATTACAAACAAAAAGAAACACTAAACCAGAGACTCACAAGAAAGTCGATAACCAGGACAACAATGGCGGAAAAGGAATCTGTAGAAAGTATGAACTTCCTCAATACGGGCTCGTCTGTATATATACACGGTACCCAAGAATTGAAAAGAAGAAGAAAAAAAAGGAAGCGGAGAAATTGAGAGAAGAAGTGGCCGATCTGATGAAAACTGGGGCCAGCGGGGAGGGTCACAGTATGGAGATGCTGGCGTTGGGAACGCAAGGAAGAAACACACGCAGAGGGACAAGGGGTTGAATCTGGGCCGTAGGTTTGAGATCCTGCGGTGATGATGGACGGGCCCAGCGGGGGAAGGGAAGAGAATGTGACGGCGAAGAGGATGGATAATGCGGGAGGGAGGCGTAACTGAATCTTTTGCGTGCACCGAATTTCCTAAACTGACGCTTTGCACGCAACAATTGCTTCTTGGGGACGCCCAACCTTATCTGTCCTTTTTGTTTCTTGACAAAATCACATCATTAAGATATACGGAAAAACAGCGCTGTGAATAAATATAGTACCAAGTTACCAACCTTATCTGTCCTTTTTTTTTAAAAAAAACGCAGTATGTACAATTTCGTGTGCTCAAACATTTTTGCTAGCCATGATTAAAATAATGGGGTGCAAATGGCCTACCATGATTCTAATTTTAATGTTTCATGTTACTATTTTTTTTATTACCGATGTTATGTGTATTTATTTATTCCGATTAGGCTCAGATCACTCGTAAAAGACGGTCCGTAGTTGTGCACTACAAAGGTACCAAAAGGAGCAACACACCAACCCAACCTCGCCACACTCCACTCACAAAGAAACGGAGAAGAACAGAGATGAACACACAAAGGGAAAAAGAAACCCACACGGAAGTCTCACAAAGAGAGAAAGGAGTTTTGCACGGTGTAGAAACACAAAGGGGAAGCCTCAATTTATAGTAGAGATTTAGAAGCTAATTAAGGTAAGCTTAATTAGGTTAGGAATAAAGGTTGGGCTTGAGTAAATGGGCTGCTGGGTTGGGTGTCAAATATTTTTTTCTCTAATAAAAAAAAACAACCGGGTTCTTGAGTACATATCTAGTTTTGATTTTTTTAGGCTAATCATTTTCAATCTTTGACCTATAATTAAATAAAATATATATTGTATATTAATTTAATAAAATAATATATTAAAAAATATTTGATTTATTAAATTTAATAAAACTATTTTGTATAAAATCTAATACTAGAGTTTTATTTTTATTTAATTTAAGGTCAAAATTTATAAATTTTGACCAAAAAATAAAGGAAGTAGTAGCTAGAGTGCGTGGGGTGCCATTGCTGGTAGGGTTGCTACCTGCTGTACAAGTGCTGATGGCATTAGTGTTATTATTACCTCCGTCCTATATCTTTCTTCCCATTGCGCAAAACGAAGAAAAATTCCAAGTTTTTTCAATCTATTTTATTTAAATATTGGTATAGAAATAAAAAATAAAACATACATATTTAAAAACTACATCAAAAGTTCAACAAAACAAGTGGTTACAAGAATATTTTATTTTATCATATAGGCCATGAAAAAACACAAATAAATATAAATTCTCGTGAAGTTAGAATAGTGCTCTGGAAAGAAAGTTTTAGGACGAAAGGAATATTAACATTCTTTCCATTTTTTTTAAACATTGTTTCCTTGGGAGCCACTGATGATGGAAGATATGGCCGGGGCAACGGCGGCGGCAGTGAAACTCGCATCAACGGCAGTGGCGGCGTGTGTGGGCTTTGAGGCCCATGTGCAATCTGAAGCCCACAAAACCTTGACTCACTAGACATTTGTGGCTCTACAATAAAACCACCAGGAAGGATATGTGGGCCGGCCCGTTGAAAATGAGCTTGGAATTTTTTTTATTTATTTGTACATTTTGTTTAATTATTTGATAAAATAAAATATTTTTATCCTCTCTTGTTCTGTAGAATTTTTTACTTAATTCTTAAATATATAAATTTTACTTTTATTTTCTCTACCAATTTGTAAATAAAATGAATTTAAAAAACTTAAAAATTTACTTTGTTTAGCGCAAAGTGTAAAACATTTTGGGATGAAGGGAGTAAGTACGTAATAAACGGAAATAAGTTAAGACTTCTAAATTTACAAATACTCTCTTTGTCTCGAATTGGATTACAGTTTCCTATTTACAATGTAAACCCCCACATTTTTAAAATTAATTTATTAAAAATTAGTATAAGAATACTTATAAAAATTTACATATTAAAAAGCAACGCTGGATGTTTTACAAAACAAGAGACGTCAAAATTATTTTATTTTATCAAATAATCAATGAAAATACACAAACAATCAAAAGTTATCGAGAGGTAAATTCCAAAAAAATGTAATCCAATTTGAAACGGAAACGAGTTAAGCATGTAAGTTAGTAGCATGCTAAAGGCATATTTTTTTATTTTAAAAAAAAGGACTACCGCGTAATATCTTGAATCTTGAGCCTGGCAACTATTATACGTACGCTAAAAGGTAATTATGCTCCAAGCATAGAGCCTATATAAGTACTATAGGTTTGGAATCCATTATTTGCTATCAATCAACGATCAAAGTCTAATTTATCTTCTGTTAGTGACCGTTCGGCCGGTTCGGAGGGCACCCTCAGGGATAGGGCTCATCCCTCATCCCTTTTTTCAATCTTGAGCTTTAAAAATTAACCGTAAAAATGGGTAATTTACCTAAATAAAACTAAAACATAATGGCTTTTTTAATATAGGACCATATGTTTTTATTTTCCAATGTATGACCATTGGTCATTATTTATTAGTCATTATTCAATTAAATGTTCAACATCACTTGGACATTATTCTTCTCATGAGTCATTATTAAGTCTTATTTAGAAAATAAAAAAGTTTAAGTCATACATTAGAAAATGACTTATGTTTTTGCATGTCCTATTCAGTGCAAATTTCACTAAAAAAAAAAATAAAGGTTCATCTACTAACCATTTACCCTAGCCTGTGATAACTGATAACAAACTACTCGATCGATTCTTGTTTACATGCAAGTTGACTAATTTAGATTTAGATATATGTTAGATTAATTAAAAAAATTATTATTCTACCGATGTGGATGATTATGGAAACTTAGAGTGTTTCCCCACTCCTAGAAACCAAGAAGAATCATACGAAGCAAGAGGTGCTTTGATATTCATGCTTCAAGATTTTTGGCAAATAAATTTATTAATATAAATTACTTATAAAAAAACAAAAGACACATTCAGAAAATAAAATGAGTACAACAATTGATTTTCACAGATATACACGGTATCGGATACATCAACACGTGGCGGAGGAGGGGCAGATGAGCGGGCCGGCATCCGCCGTGAGAGCGGGAACCATAGACCCATCGGCCACCGGGAACGACTGAGATCTGGTGTAGTACGGCGTACAGCTCCCGTATCCGGACGGCACAAAATATGCCCCGTTTAGAAATTTATCCCTTGAAGACCTCCATTTCCAATGCCCCCACCCTTTCTTTACCTCTCTCTTCGTCACCTGTCCATAATTCAATTTTACTTGGTCAACTCTCATTAGACCATACACATAAACTTCATGGCGTGGACCATAATATTTCTCAATTAAGTCTTATTTAGGTAATGACTAAATTAAGACTTAATTAAGTCTTATTAGACCCAGACAGAACTATAAATATAAGAAATATTTGCACTAAATATCACTAAAACTTAAGTCATTTCTCTTAATAGCACTTAAATTGTTTATTCCCTAAATAGCACTTAATAATGTCTATAATGACTAGTGATGACAAACATTTACTTGAATAATGACTAATAGATAATGACTAAAAGTGCTACATTGGGAAAAAACACATGTAGTTCTATTTAGGGAAAGTCATTGTGTTTTAGTACTATTTACGTAAATTACTCTAAATATAAACTTAAAAAAACTACGGGATACAAGCGTTTGTACATTGATTTTACATCATACTTGTCACAAACAATACAAGAAATGTCTATACGGTCACAAAAAGTAGTTATTGTTTGTGTGTAACTATGAAAAGGATCGAGATATATATAAACTTACTTGCTTAGAATCAGATTTATTGGGAGCCATGAAGTAGTTGCCCTCACTAAAAATGATAGGGTTTGCACTTCCACCAATCGCATACATCAGCCACCCACTGTATCTATTGTTTGCCACGTGGGCGTACCCCAACCTCACCCTGCACCCACCCATAAATAATTATATTAACAGAAAAATAACATAATCATTCATTTCGATTTTTCACTAAATTTAAGGAAAAAAATACGAGGAGTAATTAAAATTTATACGGAGTATATTTAGATTTAGATTTAGATTAAGATTTAAGAACATACCTTGGCATTCTTTCAATAAGACCAGGGCCAAAATGATTAAAGGCCACTGTAATTCTCATAGATTTGTCTTCTACGTTGTTATCATTGTTCCCAAACAGCATCACCTGCCTTAACACTAATTAATTACCAAGTAGTAAATAATTGCTAGTAGTAAATTAAAACTTAATTTAATTAATTACTTTGTCGTGATGAGTAAAATAGTTGTTCGAAATGGTGATGTCGGTGGACCCATGTATCACGTCGATGAGCCCGTCGGCGGCGCGTGCAAAGTAACAATGGTCTATCCACACGTTCGAAGACCCGTATATCGTAACCGCGTCCCCGTCCGAGCCGCCGCGCCGCCCGGCGTGCGTCGGGCTGTCCCTAACTTCCTGCCCCGATTTTCCCGGCTTACAGTCCCGAACCGTTATGCCATGCACGATCACATTCGTCACCCCTTGGATTGTGATGCATGGCCCGTTGGAGATTTCCACTTTTGCCCCTCTCCCGTCTATCGTCTTGTAGCTGCTGACGATGAGGTCGTTCTTGAGCTTGATCACCATGTCCCTGGCAAACGTTATCCAGAGCGGCTTCGGCTGGATGATGCCGTACCGGAGCGAGCCGGGTTTCGGGTTCCGCGGGTTGTCCGACGCGTGCCGGACGACGTACGTGGGCCCGTTCTTTCCGCCCTCGGCGTGTTTCCCGAAGCCGACCGCGCACTCTGCCAGCGCGCGGCGGTCGGACGCCCAGTTTGGGTTGGCGCGCCAGCACGAGTCGATCGGGTTCATCGCCGCCCGGGTGTTTCGGGCAGCGCGGGTGGCATTTAAGGTTGGGTCGCCGGCGGCGGCGGTGGGGGGAACGAGGAGGATGGGGATCGATGTGGTCATAACAACAAGGGCTAAGACGAAATTAGCCATTATTGGTGATTTGTTAAATAATTAATTAATACTCCGTAATTAGGAGATGAGCAATAATAAACTCATGAGAAAGAAAAGTAGATTGGAGTTAGATATAGTAGTCTGTAATTCATTTGGAATGGGTTTTGTTTATTTTGGGAACATATAGAGTGGAATGACAAGATGGTGGACACGATGCTAATGATTTGGGAGTGACTCTTTTTCCTTTTGGTTACGGAGGACTGGAGGAGTATATATATACTCCGTTTGGAAAAAGTGTTCCTATTTTGACTTTGTGTAAAAATAAGAAAGTATTAAATTGTAGTTGACTTTCAATTTTGCCCTTGATGTGATAGGTAAAAGTAAGATATGATGGATAGATTATTAGAGATAAAGTATGATGTGATAGGTAGGGTATGAAAAAGTAAGGGTAAAAGTGGTTTTTTAAAAGAAAGTGGAAGTGTTTTGTTGGAAGTAAAAAAAATGAAAGAGGAAGTGTTTTAAAAAACGGAGGGAGTAATAATTTAAAATATAGTTTCTCCATCATATAATAATAAATTATATTACACTCTTATTAGATAGTTTAATTTACTTTTATACATGTTTTTAGTGAAATTTACCCAAGGGGGCACCAAATCATAATTATTTTACCTAAATAACACCACTACTAATTTTTTCTCTCACTAGCACTAATTTTCATCCGTACTACCTAGCCTACCCTTCTGTAACCTAAGCCCACTAAAATCATTCCTTTTAATTTTTACTTATTTTTGGAAAACAAATTCTTAATTATCCCTAATTTTCAGGAATCCTTAAACTGTCTAAACCATATCCAATTATGTGCTTGACTCACTGCACTGTCCCCAACTCATATCTCACTCACTGTCCATTAGGGGGACTGTGATTACACATTGTCCCTAATTTTATATTAATATAATGTACACACTGCCCTTTACTTTGCTCATGCATACACACTGTCCTAGGTTCATTAACTCACACACTGTCCACATGTTTCACACGGGGCCTGTTATTACTCACAATGGAGGATGTGCGGTTGTACAGATCTACAAAAATAAGACTGAAGGTCATTATAGTCTTTTCCTCACCCCTGCACCAATAAAACATGTGGCTTCCTAACACTAGTGCTATTAAAAGAAAGGGACATTGTTTTAGTGTTATACACGTAATTTCCCCATGTTTTTATTCATTATTTGATAAGATAATATTTCGACTATCCTTGTCATATGTTTTTTTTTGTATAAATTTTGATGTAATTTTTTTAATGTATAAGCTATTATCTAATGCAACGTATTATTTAAATGTACAAGTTGTTATACTTAATGCAAATTTTTAATGTAAAATATTATTAAGTATTTCTATACCAATCACTACAAGAAAATGTTAGTTTTGCAACAGAAATACAGCAACAGGCATTATTCCGTTGCGACATTGCAACGGCAATTTAATTTGCAACATAACTATTTTGCAACGGTATTGTTTGCAACGGAGAGGTAATTTATCTGTTGCAATTATGATGGGAGTTTGGCGCCTTTTTCCGGGAGCGTTTTGCAACAGATTTTTTCAACGGTTTTTCCATTGCAGAAAATTTGCAACAAATTATTAAACTTTTGCAACGGCATAACGAGTTGCGTTAACTCCGTTGCAAAAAATATCAAAACTAAAAAAACTAAAACAAATGTAATTAAAACTAAAAGTATGAAACTAAAAGAAATTTAAAAAACTTTGAAAAAGGTAATTGAAATATCTTAAAAAACTAATGAACGGTAGATCAGAGTTCAAAACAGAGTTCAAAACAAATACTCCCTCCGTCCCTAAAGTTCTCGTAGTCACGGGAATTTTTGTTTATTTCTACGTTTTCATTGGTTATTTGATAAAATAAAATATTCTTGACACTTTATTTTGAAGAATTTTTCATGTAGTTTTTTGATATGTAAATTTTATTTTTTATTCCTATACTAATATGTAAATAAAAT